CTTAGCAAAAGCATAACTAAGGCTGTGTGGACACAAGGTGACTGTATCTGTTTGTTAAGAACAGTCCCTGCTTACTGCCCTGGCACCTTGGCTGGTTACTTCCCTTTCACTCTCAAAAGTGTCTCACACTGGACAGTAAGTTCTCTGGTCACCTTAATTTGCTAGTGAGTTGTAGAGAAAGAATTGGTGCCCTGCCTGGCCTCAATCCCAGGGGTCTCTGTATTACGCTAGGTTAACCCTTAAAATTCAGAATTACTAAGTTTAGAGGAAGGGTTATTTTCCATCATTATTCATTCGGTTAACATTTATTGGCACCATGTGTTAGACATTTGCTAAAGTACGAATGGAATGGTTCATCAGAAGCTCATTGTTTAGTGAGGAAATAGACCCGTGAATTCTTATATTCAAGACAGTTACCTAATGGACAGATATTCAAAATGAAAATGCAGGGCTTTTTGCTTAAACAAAGAATTTCAAGACAGTGATCACAAGGCATTCAACCAAGTGCTTCCACCAAGAGCACTGTCTGTGTTTCAGTGCAATCACTGAGGGGTTGGTTCTTGAGATTATGGAAATACATAGGCATTACCAGTCTGAAGACTGATCCTGGATGGCTTCCTGGAAGAAAATGAAGACACCTTAGGGGCTAACTACAGTAAGGATGTTTCTCTGGTGGATCATCTCTTTGGTATTTCAAACCACAGGTTATTGAGGACAATAACTTAATCATTTTGACTTAAATGACAAGTGCTAAAGATCTTCTGCCACTGTGCCTGTCGGTGACCTATTGCAGGGACTGTGACACATCCTGTGGTAGACGTGAAGAGGTGCCACCCAGATTCTCTCTTCAGAACTTGTTGGTGCTGCTGCAGGCAACCTGGGGAAGCCTGAGTACAGGGCCTGCCTGAGGTGGAGGTGGGAAGCCCTGGTCATCTGCACATGGTAGTGATATAGGGCACTAAGTAATCCAAAAATGATATAGGGCACCCAGTAGTAATCCACATAAACAAAAATAATGCAAGCAAGGAAAATAGTATAACTCCCAACCTGCTAGGTATTCAAAACGTGAGTTTGTGTTCTCTAAAATTGTAGAATGAATTCTAGGAATATCGAAGGTTAAGAGTAGGAAAACTTTACTGAGAGAAAGATAGCTTCTATCTAAGAGAGACAAGAGGTCCAGAAAGTGGGTTGCCTGCCCACACCACTTTTCAAAGGTGTTTTATTGAGCAAAGCCATGAGGTGAAGTGGGTTCAAGGTGAGACAAAACTATGACTCCATGGAAAATTACAAGGTGGGTTTGAGGGGCGACAAAAACATGATCAACCAATAAGATTACAAGTACAGTCAGCCAGGTAATATTGATTAAACAGGGATCAAATGGGAAAACAAATCTCATACAAGGAATTTCCCAGAAAATAAATGGGTTAAGGAGATTAATGTCGATTTAGAATACCAATGGCTGCTAGTCATCTCCTAGGGGAAGTAGTACCTTTTTTCTTTTTATAATGCTAACCAGTGAATGTGCCTCAACTGTTTTTCCATGATGAGGGCCCAGCTCTGTCTAACTGCCTTTTAATAATTTTAACTTAGCTACAGTGAGGATGTTTCTCCAGTGGATCACCTCTTCATCTGCAATTGTAGGACAACTTGTGCACCATTTCAGCTTCATAGCTTCTCATGAATGGGCTAAGATTATCCAGGTAACATTCCAGCTCTGTTTCTCCTTCTGCCCAATTCTGCTTCTTCCTTGATTCTACAAATGTTGATCCCAAGGGCACTCCAGAGTCCCCATAAGTATCCTGAATACTAAACTCCATTACACAATCTATATGACAGAAAATCAAAATGCAACATGGACCAAAAGATCTCCCAATAAGTACTCAGGATTTTTGAGAACTATTGGTTACTTGCATACTTAACAGCAATTAATTCTAAATCCCAGAACATAATATGGCATAAGGGACTCAGTATATGAATGTGGTTTCCTTCTGAGTTAAAAACCTCAGCTCAATAAAGATCAGAATGCCCATATTTTGTGGAAATCAAGCTATGAATTTACTGCAATTCTTGAGAAAAGCTATTTCTATTTTCAATTTCTATATAGCTTTTTCTATTTCAATTGGTATTTGAAAAAGAACAAAGCTCATAACTGCTATTTATGGAGTAGGATACAATTTCCTTTTATTGACACACTTGAACATTTTAGATCATTTGGTTACTAAACTGGGTTGACTATAGACATAGCTCCTGGGATGGGCTTTAATTGTTGACCTTTCTTAATTTTATTCATTCCAGGTGGAAGATTTCTTTCTTTCCTTTTAGTAAAACACAAGTTCACCCATTCTAATGTGAATCACATTAGTGGAATTACAAATCAAGATTTTTGAGATGCGGCATGGAGAATGTCAGAATCTTGCAGGTAAAAACATTCTCAAACAGAATTGGCTGTGGAAAGTGACTTACACGTCCAGGTACTAAATGTAACATACTTCAAGGCATAATATTCTGATCATAATTAGTCTCAGATTGGAAACAAATACTTGGATATGAGAAGAGGGCCTCCCAATATGCCTACAATCAAACCTTCTAAACAAAAACATGGGCTGTCCTTGGTTTACGTAGGAACTAGTTAATCAGCTGGTAAGTTAGTAAACTTGCCAGACTTAGCACAACAGACTTACCAAGATTTGCCATACTTTTTACTAATGGAGAGTAAAAAAAGTCGGCAGGAAGCAACTTTTGGAGGTGATGAGACATTTAGGGCATAGGTCGTGCTCAAGGTTTGGGGGATGGGCATATAATTATCTCTACATTCATCAAGTTGTCCACATTAAATACAGAGTCCACCAAAAAAAAATGTATACACACTTCAGGAAAAGAAAAATAGAATGAGGTTTTTTTCCAACAGATAGTGTTATCCTCACATAGGGACCCTAGAGGATGTTGGATATCATAGAAAGCCCACCATACTGCCAGCCCTTAGAGAGGAAAGTAAAATGCATGTGCACCAATCTCAGTGATCAAGGTTACCCAAGCAGCAGTTCACCGTACTAATACATGTCTGGAAGCTAATGATCACAGCTTGGAGCACTTCTTGTAACTGTAAAGACCAAAGGTAACTTGTGTTAATCTCATGCTATCTCAATAAATTTTGTATTAAAATATGTATAGAGGCTTTTCGTTTCCTGAAATATACATACATTATTTGGGGCAGACTCTGTACATACAACTTTTGTGTATATCAGTTATACGGTGACAAAGTTATTAAAAAACATACTTCCCCCTAAACTTTATAGTTTTTTCTTCTTGTATTTATCCTGGAATTTGAGGAAAAGTGAATTTATTTTATTAATTGGTTAAAGAAAATATAGCGTTGGCTTCTCATGTACCAAGAGCTTCAAATGGTTTATTTGCTAGGGGTCACAGGTAACTTTGGAACAGTATCCTAAGAACTCAGTAGAAATAGTTTTCCACGTGCAGAGCATTCACTTTAAGAAGACTGAGTCACTGAATTTGAGATTTAAAGAAAAACAATGTCATGACCATCTTTACGCTCAATTGGTAAGTATGATACATAAAAGTGAAGAGAACATATGAAAAGTTTAATGAATATCTAGCCATCCAGGCAAGACCGTGGGGGGATTGAATGCACGGCCTTTGCCATTAAGCTACAGCCCCATCCTTTTTATTCTGAGACAGAATCTAAGTTGCTAAGTTGCCCAAGTGGGAGTAGCACTTGCAATCCTCCTGCTTCAGTCTCTGAGTCTCCAAAGACATTTTAAGCACCTGAGAAGGTGCCCTCCCACTTCTACTTCCCTATACTTTCCATCTTCCGAAGTTCAAGTACTGTTCTGCCTGTAGTAATAAGTGTTTGTGAACTTTGTACAGAAGGAATCACAAATTTGGGAGTAGGGGTGTCAGGCTTCTTGGAACAATGTTTGTGAAATTCATCTGTGATGCATTCCTTGCTGTATTCTACCTCATTTTCCTTCCGCTGTTGATGAGCATTTCAATCATTTTCAGTCGGAGCTATTAGGAATTATGTTTCTAGGAACAACCTTGGAGCTGTATCTAGGTGTGCAGGTGTACACATTTGGAGAACAATTTATCAGGCTCCACAGCTTGTGTAAATGCTGTCTAGCTGATTTTTCTAAAGTGTTTTTTTTTTTTCAGTAACATTTTCAGATACACAGTAATGCATGAGTGTTCCCATTATATCGTGCCTGCTTGACGGTATGCTCAATTTCTCATTTTAGTCATTCTGGTGGGTGTTCAGTGGTCTCTCCTTATGTTCATCTGCATTTCCCTGGTAACCAACAAGAAGGAACGCTTTTCCAGTTATTGATCATTTGGATATTCTCTTTTGTGAGGCATTTATTCAAGTCCCTTGTCTATTCTCTAACTGGGCTTTCTGTTTTTTCCTTAGGCCTTATGTTCTATGGCACTGGTTCTACAGTCTACAGTCTACACCAGAATCTCCCGTAGGGCTTGTGAAAACAATTACAGATTCCTGATTCAGTAGATCCAGGCAAGGCAAAAGAATATGCACTTTTAAGAAGTTCCTTTGTGATGCTGCTGGCCCAGGTACCACCTTTTGAGAACCAGTATTCTAGTGTTGTAAATGGAGCTGCCATAGAGGCTTCTTGTTAGCTTAGGACTAAATCATGTTAAAAAACAAAACCTCAACTATTTAATACTTGTTTGAGCCTGGGGCATCAGCTAATATACTCTCTTTTCTAAGAAAGGGAGTGACTGGACCCTTTCAACAGCCACTTTTCAGTCTGTCTGCAACCCAGACATCTGCTTAGAACATTTGATACACCTAAGTAGCCCAGAGAACCAACGGATAACAGAAGATTTTTTTTTTTTTAATCTCAGGAAAACCCAGTGGCTTTCATCAGCAAGGACATGAGTCAGTAATCCCTCTAAGAACAAAAACACAGATCTCTGAATGGAGATGAAAACCATCATTTATTTCAATTGAATTTTGTTTCATTAAAAAAATCCTGTGATGACATTAAAACAGAAATGAAACAGAAACATATTTATATGACTGCCTTTGATCTCTACAGACCAAATAAACATATATACATTTAAAACATTTCTAGTGTTTAAACAGACCTCATTATCATCACTGCCACTTCAGTCTTCTGAAATACTAACCACGACTATTAATAAACAACTTAGTGCACGTGATTTACTGCACTAAACATTAATCACCGACTTCCACATACACGGAGTCAAACAGCCACTTCACTTATAGTACTTTGGTGATTTGCTGTGTGTGCTTTTTTATGCTTCATTTTAGAAAACAGCCGTTCTGTTAACGAATCGAACCACCTTATCTGTAGGCATTAAAGTATAGCCTATACACACACACCTGTGTGTGCAGTAATATATGCAACCTGATAGTGGTTTCAACTTATTCTGCAAGGTCAAGTCCATCTCAAACTGACAGTAAACATTTAGTAACTTGAACTCAACACCTCAGAGCTATCACCATCAAGAAAAAGTAAAGGCTGAGGGGTCAAATGAATTACTGTTGGCTTAGGAAGTGGTGTGGTTTGTTGATTCACTAACTAGAATGACCTAAAGAAGCTCTATTAGTGGTCAGAAGTAAACTGATTGGGACAGGTTCATCAAAGTGAAGCTTCTGGACACATCCTGAGAAAGTACTGCATAATTATGGCCAATTAGTGCAACGATTTTCATTTTTTCTCACCAACTCAAAGAGTCTATGTGTGCAATTTTGAAAGGATTTCAAGAAAAGCGAAACCAAAAAAGATTATAGTCAATAGAGGTTTACCTGCTGTAAACCAGAAATCCAAATCAAAATAATACTACATGTTTTAGGAGTTACACTCAGAGGTTTGGCCCTTCTGGAAAGTATCACCATGCTGAGTCTGGAACCAAAACACAGTTCCTTTCATGTCCAAGTGAGGCAGCTCTAACAATGAGGCTGTCCCTACATGTGTCCTTTGTCATCAAACTCCCTAGAAGGGATGCCATTTTGAAAAAGCATTATTTTCTCTTTCTTATTAGAGCGTAAAACATTTTCCTTCTGTACTTTAACCACGTATCTTTTGGGGGGCAGACTCTCCCTACTACAATGTCCATATATATATTTTGTAAGTTTTATCTGCACTGTTTTAATTAGCAGCCTTTGGGGGGCGTAGTGGATCCTAGTTATGTTAAAGAAAGTGGTGAGACAAGACAACCTTCACACAGTCTTTAAGTAAACAGAATCTCTGCTATCACTGGAAACTAACAGATACTTTGGGATCAACAAGAAACAAAAACAAAAGCAATCGACCTGTGACAACTTTGCCCTATTCCTCACACAATGAATGGGCTTTGGCTCTGGAGTCTGTTAAGGCACCAAATCTGGTAGGCTGTTGTATCAGTGGCCTGCACCTCTGATTTGGATTTTTAAAAAATTACAATATTGAAATAAAAGAGCACTTTCTTAGAGGTTGAAATTATTGGGTGAAGTTGGGGGGGGGGTCCAAATACACCGACATCTTGCGTGTATAAATTTTTTTGCTAGAGTTAAGAAAAAAGTACAAGGTAGTTTATGCAGTGCAAAAACTGTGGAAAACGCCTTTGGAACATGTTGACTTGACTGACATCTTGGTAGAATCACAGTGCTGTCTCAAAAATTGTTAAGGCTGAGGGCTGTCCATTGGAAGTGTTCATAACCACAGAGCCAGTGCGAGCAATATCCGGATAATTTCTTTTGAAGTACACCTGTTAAAAAAATGAAAAGCATAAAAGGAACACATTCTAAAGTTTTCAAGTCCTCTCTAAAGCAATGTGTTCCTATGTCCACTTCTTCATGTGAAGAAAACCTTAGCATTCACTGAGGCATAGTAACACTGAGGTGTGTGTATAGTCCATGGGGAATTAGCCCACTAAAGCCCTCAGCTGGGCTCGGCTGAATGCCAAACCACCTGTAGATCCACTTTAGTTCGGATCATTCCGATTCACAGATATGTTTTATCACTCCATTAAATTGATAAGCAAAATCATTTCACTAGCTCAAAACCTGAAGATAAATTAAAAACAGGGTGACAAAGAGGCTGGGAAATCTAGCGTCTGCACGAGAGTTTCTCATTTTCGCACATAAAATGAGCACAATAGATTTGGATGTTAATATCAGGTTGTAATCCCTATATGTTATAAACTTTGACTGACAAGCATTGAAATGCTTCGTCAACGTATGAACTATCCCAGCGCTTAATTCGTGTGGCACAGAAGTCATAGGATCCTTAGAAATGTGATCTGGGGATAGTGGGCCACAATAATGAAAAGAGAAGCAAAAGCTTTAACAATGACCCAGCCAAGCAACTTCTCTAAAATGTAAGATGATACCAAATAATAGGACAGTCTTTTGCCAAGCCTTTGAGTTCCTGAATTCTACCAATTTCTAGCTGAACTAGGAGAGATACAGGTTTTCCGATAAATGTGTAATCAGAGCATAAAGGGAATGAAATGCTGTCAAGTTTCTCTGTTCCACGATAGTCAGTGTTTAGTAGCTGTATCGTATCTCGGTTCCTTGACAGATGCGCATAACAAAATGAAATAATGTCAAGGCTTGTGAGCTCTTATCTCCAAATGTGTTTGGGTGAAAAAGACTTCAAATGTAATTTTTTTCCCCCAAAGAAGAATGTGAAAAGTTCTGTTTGAATCTTTAAAACAGCAAATGCACCATCTATCTGGGGCTGACGCGTGTCACGAGCTGGGGTGGACCCACACGATTCAGCATACACCATAAAACCTGACTCCAGAGTTATCTGTGGGTGCTGTCAGCAAACTTATCACTGGTTATAATGGACTTCACATACAAAACGCAAGTGTGCCGCGACACCTTCCTACATATTAAGGATACTTTTTCTTTTGTTGCTTACATACTTGCTACTGAAAAAGTGTTACTACTTTAAAATTCAATATATTAAAATGTCACTTAAGAGAAGTAAGAAGCTCTCTGATAAACCTTGGACCCCAATGAATGAAAAACGAAGCCATTTCTATTTTAATACAAGTTTTCCAAAATAAGACATTGGACGGGGGAAGCAACTTTCCTGCCATCTCTAACCACTTACCTAGCTGTATTTTGTGTGGCTGTATATTTATATATTCCAAAAGGGCTATTTCCTCCTGAAAGTAAAAGCAGCCAAAAGAACAAATGGAAATTCAATTCACTTTCTGCTGCTTGGAAGTCATCCCCAAATAAGCCTGTTTCTTCCCTAAAACCCTTCTCTATGTAAATTTTATCAAGAAAATGTTATTAGCAATTCTTCACTAAAATGTTTGCAGCTCTCTGGTCTGAAATGTTTTGTTGAAAAACAACTTCCTGAGTAAAATATTCTTAATTTCACTTTTCTTTTTCTCGCCTGCTACCATGTTTGGCATTATACAGCACAGATAATGAAACAGGCGAGATACAGCATCAGTTTTTACAGTGCAGGTGATGAAGGAAGCCAGGATGCTGACATTCTCAAGCAGGGTTCTCTAGTCACAGGCTTAGCCTGGGATAGAGAGGACCTGTCTCAGCTTTCCCTCCCAGGACTTACTGCTGACCCTGGAAAAAGCACTTAACCTCTCGCCATATGCCTGCCGCATCTGTAAATGAGATAGCAATGACTTACCTCATAGGAAATAATTAATGGCTACAAACTGCTAGTAGAAAACATGCCGAGTTAAGTGTTGGGTGTGTTTATGAACACTGCTCAGAGAATTGCCCTTTAGTCCATGGAAACTAGCAGTATTACCCAGCTTGAAAGATGAAAACAAAGCACCTGTGAGTCCCCTTTGTGGATCTTCTCATTTCATGTTTACAGAACCCCAGACTCAAGAGTTGAGACTCTATTAACTGAATGAGTATGGTAACCCAGGGAACAGAAAGGCCTGGTAGGAGGTTACCAGAACTGGAGTACCAACTCCCCTTCTGGTGACTTTGAGACGTTACTTAGGCCCCTTTGCCCTGTGAAGACTGAAGGAGATAACGCCATAAAAGTTCAAGCCTGCAGTCAGCAGAAGAGAAGTCCAGTGAATGTCTCATTCTTCTTCTCCTCTCTGGTTTGGTTGAGTTGCTCTAATGTAGGCTAAAACTAAGTTTAATATTTAAATACTAATGGGATTACAGCTCATTGACAACAACAGAGCAACAAACAGTCCCCTTTTTGGGCTCAGGAGAAACAGTGGGACTTTATGTATACGATAAGTGTAAGACAGGATTCCATGTCTGAAATTCTGGCTCAAGACCGTAGCAGTAACTCTCAGGCCTTAAGCCCCTCATCCACACAGCAGGTCTAATTCTGGTGTAAACTGCTCTATAAGGTATAATCAAAATATAGTCAATGCTTACACTAAAATTTTTATTACAGGGCCGGGGATTTACCTCAGTGGTTCTGCTGCCTGCCTTGTAAGTGTAAGGTCCCGAGTTCAATCCCCAAAAAGCAATAGAAGATTTGGGGGTGGGGGATTTTTTTTTTTTAACAGTAAAAAACACATTGCCAGTCCTCCTCAAAATACTACCCTTTGCTTTAAACACACTTATCGTTCTTGACACTTTCTGAAGCAGTTGTGGAAGTCTTCTGTGAGTACCCTTATGAAATGTGATCAAAAGTACAGTGAAAGCTGCTACCGAGTGCCATCCTACAGAAAGGCAGACTCATAAAAACATCAAGTGCGTCCACGTTCACTCTGTTCACCAGATCTGGCACTGTACAACTAATGTATCTTCCCCAAAGAAAAAAAAGACCATGAAAAGTAAATGTTTTGAATTAATTCCGGATAGCCAGAACAGCACAACTACAGTCCCTCATATAACAGGACTGGAACTGCTTCAGAGAGTAGCACATAGGATGGGAAAAAAGTGTGTTTGAAGTGAGGGGTAGTATCTTGCAGGTGATTAATGGTAATGTGTCTTTTGCTGTAATGAATGAAAAAAGATTTAACATCCAGCATATTTTTCAATCACACTTTGTATATGATTGTCAAAGAATATTAGAGAGTCTGTACTTCCGCTTTTAAGATAACGAAATGTTTCTTATCTTTTTAAAAACCACCTTAAAATTGAAGATACTGAAACTAAAACCTAAGTTCAGTCTTCGATGAAGTCAGTAATCATCGGAAACCCCTGATGGTGAAGTATCTGGAAAGGCTGCCGTGCGTCACGGATTCAGTGAGGCCACAGCAGGACAGACAGTGGACATGAGTGGGAATGCACCTCACGCATCACAGAAGGGTGCAGTTCTCCAGCTACTGCAGAACTCCAAGGCGGACAATGGGAATCCTGTAGGGACACGGCTGCTCAGGCTCACACCCTGGCACCCCTGGGAGAAGAGGGGTTTGGAATGCAAGCAGCATTAAGTGCCTACAACCCTGCTCCCCACACCGTGTACCCCACAAATGAGAATCTGTAATAATTTAAGCCTGGAGAAATCGCTTTAGCCTGAAACCATGTCCTAACTCTAGCTGCCTTGCACCTTCTCATCATACTAATAAAAGGAGTAATAAATGATGTGTAAAAATGTAAACAAAATGTGAGAAAAGGAACAAGACAAGCCCATGGCAAGTGAAGACTATGTAATCACCAAGCTGATGAAAATTATGAAAAAATGGCCTGAAATACAGTCAAACAAAATGTAGCAGAAAAACCAGTGTGAACACAAGAGAGATATGAGCCCAGGAAAACATGGCAAAGCAGTACAAGCTTTTGAAACTAAGGTGACAGAGCCCAGCCCAAAAAGTGAGATGAAAGAGAAAAATGAAAATCTCAAAGAAATGACCATTCTACTGAAGACCTCTCTTGAAAACAACAGTGTAAGATGGGGGACAGGACTGTGGGAGCAATCAAACCTGAAATTAAAAAGCATTCAGAAATAAGAACCAGGCTGGGGATTTAGCTCAGTGGTTCCGCTGCCTGCCTCACAAACACAAGGACCGGAGTTTGATCCCTGGTGCCCCCCAACAAAATAAAAGTTTACTCAAAAATGAGAACCAAGATCTGTCATGTAAGGGTAAGATCCCAATGATGAATGTAACTGTACGGTATACTTAAAAAGTTCCAATAAACTCAGTAAGATAAAAAATAAATAAAAAGGATTCAGGAGAAAAGAGGAAAAGGACACGTGACCTATGACAAGTCCTCAGAAAGGGGACAATGCCTATCAAAATTTTAAAATTCAAAGATATAATTTAAGAGAATTTCTAGAAACAGCAACAACAAAAAAAGATTTTAATATGAGGTTCAAAGAGGAACAGATTAATGTCCTGGGGAAAGCTAATGAATTTCAAAATAAAGGAAGAACCCTTTAGGCATCCAAAAAACAGTCAAGTTACATGTCACTGGCTCTGTACTCCTTCGTATAAATCAACAACACTGAGACCTCTGAGCCCAGATCCAACATTGTAAGCAAAAGAAAGTATGACACGTGAGTCTTATAACTAGGAAATTTAAATTAGAGAGGCATCAAACACGAATTTCAGACATCCAGCAAGTCAGAGCCAAAAGCATTAAATGAGTCCCAGAAAGGCTCTTTAAATGACAGAAAATACAATTCATAGTGAAAACCCAAGGCATATGTATCTGGGGACAGAAAATGAGACCGTCAAAGTTTTAAGAGCAAAAATGACAGAAGCTACAAGGAGAGACACGTACGGTATGAGAGTCATTCACCTTTCCAAAAACAAGGCACAGCAAATGGACTAATATATAAGGGCAGTGAAGACTTCTATCTTGTAATAAGTGGGCAAATTAAGAATCATTAAACTATATACTTTAAATAGGCAACATATCTTTTCAATGTGCAGAGAATATTTACAGAAACTGCCTGTACATTAAGGCACAAAAAAGTATGAATAATTTCAAACAAGTAGAAATGGTGCAGACGAGATTGATTACAAAACAATTACAGTAAGGCTGTCATAAAACATAAAATAAATCCCTGTTCCTAAGAAGTTTCTAAACCTTCCTCTTAACTAATTTCCAGGCCAAAGAGGAAATCAAAACCAAAACTGCAAAATGTACATATAAAAAAATGAGCTTTAGCCGGGCGGGCATGGTGGCACACGTCTGGAATCCCAGCACTCGGGAAGCTGAGGCAGGAATATCACTGTGAGTTCGAGACCAATCTAGGCTACATAGTGAGACCCTGTCTCAAAAAAAAAAGCATTCCGTAAACCTATATGATACAGCTAAAGCACCCTTCACAGGAAAATTCACAGCCTTATAGTATTTGTATTAACAAGCAAGACAGAATGTAAACAAATGCATTCAAGGTAAGAAGCAGTAACACAATAAACCAAAGGAAAGAATCAAAAGAGAGTAGAACCTGATCGGCTATAAAACAGCATATAAGAAGTAATACATCTAAGAAATCACTCTTTCGGGGGATGGCTATAACAACTTTAGTGGGGAAAAATGGGAATAGAGAGAAGGTATAAATGTTAAGTAGCCGTTAAAAAGAATGACATAACTGAAGATGCAATATTCAATGACCAAACTAAGGGAGGCATGTAGCTAAATGACAGAGCATTTGCCCAGCATGCATAACGCCCTGGGTTCCGGCCCAACACCGTAAGAAAAAAAGCGGGTGGGGAGGGAAAACTATCAACTGTGCTTAAGAGCAGAAAGGCTGTATATATGTGCATGTTCTTATTTTATACACAATATGTCACCAAAACTGCAGAAGATGGGGCCAGGACTATGTCGGAGGAAGATCAGCAGGACAGGAGGTAGCAGCGGGAAAGTGACTTTCTTTTTACTTATAAAAATTTTTAAAAACTGTAATAATTGTAGCAGTAGTTTTCATCATCTGTTCAGCTTATTATTAAAAGTAAGTTTTAACTATTTAAGAGTCTCTAAAGCTGCTGCAATGAGCATTGGGCACTTTTTGCTATTTTCAGGAGGTAAGGGTGCAGTCTATAGCCTTCTGAAAAGCTGATCATCACACTTTTATCATCAATAGGTAGAATTATTTTCATATCTGTAAAGTGCTTTATATTCTTTGAAGTACTTAAACTCGTGCTATCTTATCTGACACCTACACCCATGTGTCCCTGCGCTGCACTGCAGAGGAGGACCTGAGGCACAGGGCCTGGGGTGACTCATATTTAAGGCCAAGGCCGGCTCAGTGCCTCTTTACCTATTCAAACAGGTTCAGGCACCCAGAATTCAGGCTGTTAGGATTTCATAACCTGTGGGCTGTATCTGATGATGGCACAGATTGGTAAAACAGCACCTCCATTACACAACCGGAACAAAGGAACTCTGAAAACTTAAGGAGGGCTGCTGTGTCAGGAAAGTGGATGGGATAAGAGCGCTTGTCATTTGTTGTGGTTGAATTGTGCAGCAAACCCCACCTCCCCAAATCTTATGCTGGAGTCCTGACCCCCAGTCCCTCCGAAGGTGACCGGAAAAGCTGATTACGTTACAATGAGGTCTTCAGAGTAGGCCCTGGTCCAGCATGACTTCTAAGAGAAGGGGCACACTCCCAGAGGAAAAGGCCATGTCAAGACCCAGGGCCATCCATGAGCTGGACATAGAGGCCTCAAGGGACCGCCATCCTGCAGGCCACCTTCGTCTCGCACTCAGCCTCCTGAACGGTGGGAAAATCCATTTCTGTAGTTCAGTCTGTGATGGCAGCCTTCTGCTTTACGTATCTGAAAAGTATTTTGTCTACCTTTTCACAGATCATCTCTAAAGGTCAATCAAAGAGTGATCTGGCTTGCCTATATCAACATTTTCAGAAAAGCAACTATGTGGTCAAGAATACGTGACTTGGAAGTACCTTTTCCCAGATGCTGTTTTCTTTTCAAATGCATGAATTCTAATCTGGGGCATTGAAAAGCGTGTTGATTTAGACTAATCCACACGGTGTTACAGTTCAGAATGATGCCTTGATATTTGATCTCATACAATGCAAAGGCTGACAATCTGACAGCTTGTTCTCCTAAGAGGACCAAGTGTGTGCAGAAAGTATGTCAAGAACGTATTCAGCTTGGCTGGGAGTCAAGATCCGTCTTTCCCTCTGTCTTTCCATAGAAGTAGCTTGAGCCCATGGTAAAGCAGGCCTGAAATCCAAGAAGGATGTCCTGAAACCGCACTAGCCTCTGCGACTGGCCGGACCCCGGGCAACAAATGAAACAAGGAGCAATGTTTTGAAACTCTTCGCAGAACATAGGCAGTGCATCAGCTTTGCCCAGCAATATACCTAGCCTCTGCTCACCACTGACCCTCTCTGTGTCCCCCACAAAGACCTCTGGACCAGCAACCTCATGACCAAGTGGGACAGAAAAAGAACTGCTGTGAAGGTCAAGTGCAATCGTATGGGTGTGAATTATGTGAAGTAAATCATAAAGCACTACACGAATGTAAGTTGCTATTCATATTCTTCAACTGGATCCAAGAGAATTCTGTGATCTACTGCTTTTCTGTATGTATGCAGCATTAGAATTCAAATGCTGACTGAAAGAAAAGATTTCTAGTTCTGACTCTACAATAAACTAGGAGGGCCGGGGATTTAGCTCAGTGGTTCCGGTGCCTGCCTCACAAGCACAAGGACCTGTATTCGATCCCCATTACCAAAAAGAAAACCAAAAACAAACCAGGATAACACTGGGCCACCTTACTCCTGGGGGCCTTAGTTTCTTCATCTTTAAAATAAGAGTGTTGAACTGCATTAATGTATGTGATCTAGATCCACCCAAATTTCTGTGATTTACCACTCATTAGTCAACACCTTGATAATATAATGACAACAATGATAACACTGTGTGTGTGCGTGTGTGCTTGCGTGCACATGTGCTTAAAAACACAGCTAAGGATCAAACCCAGTTTCTTAGATGCCAAGCAAGTACTGTACCCCTGGTCTATACAGCCCATAACAACATTTTCAAAAGGGGGACTTTGTCGGGGAGGGGATGTGGCTTAGTGGTAGAGCACTTGTCTGGCATGCACAAGGCCCTGGGTTCAGTTCTTACCAGGGCAAAGAAAGGGAGGGAAATCTTGAGGGCAAAAAAAAAGGAGAATCTTTCCCCCTTGTCCATATAGTGCAAGTCTTTGTGAGAAGGTCAGAGAATGGACACAGTCACCCCTAGGCCGGGTTTGAGCCTGAACTCTACCAATTATTCACTAGTTATGGGATCCTGGGGAATTTCCTTCCCTTTGTAAGCTCTGGTCCCTGGAACAGGCACAATGAAAAGAGGACCTGTATCACAGCACAGTGCATGACATCTAGCAAGTGGCAAAGTCTAATCATCACGGCCCCTACTATGAGCCAAGTATCTCTGCTCTCCTCCACTCTCTGGTTTCTGTAGTCAGCGATGAAGGGCACGTCTAACATGTCTGTTAGGACCCAGCACAATACTTTGCATATGTAGAATTGCACAGTTCTGAAGATGGAAACAGGCTTCAAAGAAATGCTAAGTTTCTAAGGAGGAATGAGATGAAACAGTGACAGAAGAAAATAGGCTAGATTTCCGATAAACTATTCACACAGAACTATCAGATACTGCAATATGTTTTCTTACTGTTTTTTTATACTGATTTAAAATAGTACACAAAAACAAGCAGTTTTTATTCTACCTATGGTACTGAAAATTTGGGAAATTCAAGAAACAATGAAGAAAGAAAAGCACACCCATAGCACACGGCCGAGAGATGAGTACTTATGACTCATGTATAGCTGGAAGCTCATTCTACCTGAAGCCGTGCACACCATGGTGAAGAACACCTGGCTTTCTTCCCTCCACACAACTAAGAATTATCAGACCCACTATACAGAAGCAGAAGAAAGAACTATGAGTGGCTGGTGACACTGGCTAGGTCCCTCACACCAAAGTGAAGTTATCCCATCTACAAAAGGAGATAATTCTGTATTACCGTGTCAGAAAGGTATCATGAGACCCGAATGTTTTTAAATGCTTTTTAAACCTTCAAGCACTATTTAGACAACAGCTTCCAGGTGAGATACAGTCTCGGTTTGTCCTGATGACAATTCTATCTTCAAGAAGGTCGAGGAAATACAAAAGGGATCTCTGAATTTAATCCTGAACAACAAAGGTTGAGAGAGAAAGGAAGAAAAGGACAGTAGGAGTTTTCTTCACAAATTGTAAAATGAAGAACAAGAATAATCTATATGTTCCCCTGGTAGACCTTTCTAGAATCAACACATAGAACTCATATTTTCTCCTCAAATCTCCTGGCTGCAGACAGTGTTTGCACGCATGTCGAATGTGCTAAGCTTCACGAGGAGGAAATGCAAGGAGCCTGCAGAAGGAGTTCACTCTTCTGGGATAATCTGAACCCTGTGGAGTCTAAATGGGTAAAGAGCGCAGTCGAAAACCTGCCTCCCAGTAAGGCACACTGGCTTGAGTGTGTGTGTGTGTGTGTGTGTGTGTGTGTGTGTGTGTGTGTGCGTGCGTGTGTGCGCGTGTGCGCGCGCGCGTGCGTCTTTCTTCTCCCATTTGCTTCTGCCAAGTCCTCGCAGACCTGACTTCAACCTGGGACATGCTGAAGCTTTGTCTCTGAAGGCTTATAATTCAAAAGGGCACACAGTGCTTGTTTCCAGACCCAAGGTGCCAAATTGTGAGGAGTGAACTAGTGAGAAAACTTTAATTACAGCTCCTTGGCGCACACTCACCTGTTTTGCTGTTTCGGTGAGGGCAGCGGCCTCCCCCTTGCCCAGCTGCTGTACCATCTTGTAAAATAGGCTCTCTTTATTCTGCAGCAAAATATATGGCTCATCATATTCTTTCAGTCTTCCTGAATCCAAAACCTGGTAATCAGCAAAAAGAAGCTCATTGAAACACAATGTTTTGCAGCAAGGTATTATAACTCAGACAATATTTCGGAAGGGGGCAAGAGAGGGAGAATACAGAGATGCTATTTGGGTGGTAGGCCTGGCAGGTATTTAAATGGCTTGATTACCCTGTTTTTCGAAGCAAACAAAGGCCTAACCTGACCTTTTATTATTATAATGTTATAGGAAAGGAAGAAAATGAAAATTCTAGGCTATTATTATGGACACTCAGCAGTCCTGTGGCATTTTATATTTTGCCAAGGGCATCAGGGCTAGTTGTTACTAGTGCTTTTAAAGCTCTCAGCCTCTGAGCTTTGCAGGGTATTTACACATACATTCGGAGCTGGGAAGCCTTGATTCAAGAAAATCAAACTCAATTTACTAAAAACACAGAATGATGTCAGACAAACCAAGTGACAGCAAATGAACTGGCCGGCTGGCTTGACAGAATCTGAGGAAAAAGGGTCCCAACTGTTTTCTGGGAAGAGGGGCTCAGCCCCTGTTGGTGAAGTTCAGGTGCATCTGGCACTGTCTCTGGTTGTCATTTATTATTCTGGGAGTGAAACCCTGGCCAAGAGAGCCGCTACCTAAGCAGCTTTAGCATAATTGCTGTGCACAGGAGAAATCTCTAGAAATCCAATTTTCTCTTTGGATAAGACTAAAGAGGTAATTAAGAAACTAAACTCCAAATTTCAGTGACCGTGGCCCTCACAGCACACCGGGGCAGCCCAATGCCCACAGCTAAGGGCCTACATATCTGTTTTCACAATTACCTTTCCTTGCCTCCTTCTCTCTCTTTCTTCAGCTGCCTGCCTTTTAGCCATTTTATTGCTCATTAATATGTCCACTGGAAATTGAAAGGGAGAGGAAGGGCCTCTTAACTCTGCATTTCTACTTATTAGTGGCTTTGCTTAATGGTTTCAGAGAGAAGAAAGAGTCTGAGACAATTGGCCCAAATGACGTACCTAGGAAAACCGTTCTGATGTTAAGTGGTACTTAGTTCTTCATTTAGGCTGTGTTTAGAATAAATTCATCTTAAAAGAATACGCAGCGACTCTAAGCAGGACACTGGTTGTTTTTCCACATCTAGATATTGCAGTTAATTCTGGCCCATGGTATTTAATCGGAAACATTTATTAAGTCTAATAAAGGGCATTTTCCTGTTAATCTTTTGTTTACTACTGTGAATCACTGCTAAGGGCAGTTTTCTCAAAAGAGTTCAAGAATAATTGAATCTGTCACATCCACGTAATAATTAGAGTGTCCTATAATTTGGCATGCCAATTTAGATGCCCCGAATGTATAATTTTACTTAAGCATAGCATTACCGTGCACAACCACTCCTCCTGACGTGGAAGAAGGGGGAAAAAAAGCAACTTTAAAATACAGGTCTCTTCCATGCTAAAGCCCAAGTAAATAAATGAATCAAATTACTTTACAAAATGATGAACCTTCTATTCTGCCAAAGCAGTAAGGAAACTTTAGAAAATCGCCACTTTGGAGATGGCAGAGGGTGAGGGCTCCGACTATAAAGACAACACATAATTTTAATGGAAAGAAAGCACTGCTACTATTTTTTCTCTGCCCAACTTATTCAAACTCAGACAATGGTCAATCTTTCTACTTTCTCTCATAGAGTCTGAAAACAGATGAATGCCACTTAGGCTAGGAGCTCTCAGAATCGGTCATGATCTTAAAAAGACACAGCCTGAGCAAGAAGACCAACACCCGAAATGACAAGATCATTTTGGCCAAGACATGCTGTGCCTTGTAAGGATCAATAATTTAATGATTGTGCGCTTTATTTTGTTGGGCGTTTTAAATTTGGTGGGCGACAGATAATTTGTCGTAAGGCTTGATAATTCATTAGAACACGTGTGTGTAATGTTTGTGTACAGGGCATATGTGCACGCATGTTTTACCACTGTCCTACACCTTCAGCCCTAGACCTTGAATTTTTATTGTAACAACACTTTGAAAGTGTAAAATTAAACCAGCTTCTTTAGTACTATTTTGATAGACACTAAAACAAAATAAAGGGACGGATGTGTGGCTGAGTTTTATCCTCAGCTTCCCAACAAAACAAAGCAAACAAGATAGTATCTTAAAATGAACTGGATGACTATACCCTAAATGGATGCTAAGCTAGGCTTGAGCAATGTGATGCCCTGTATGTCAATACAAAGTAGCAGGGCCAGGGATTTAGCTTGGTGGTTCCACCCTGCTGCCTGCCTCACAAGCACAAGGTCCCACGTTCATCCAAGGTACAAAACAAAACAAAACAAAACAAAAAGTAGCAAAGAACGTGGTTATAATAAGGTGGACAGAAAAAATAGCGGCTTTCGAACTTGAAAAGGAAAATAAAAATGCCTGTGTTGAACATTCACTGAATTTCAGGTCATTCCTGCTAAGTCTCCAATTATGTTAGCTAAAGAAGAGAGATCACCCCCTTCCTTCCTTCCTTCCTTCCTTCCATCTGTCCATCCAAACAGACAACTTGGCCCCTCACAGATAGCAGAGCTGGCTCTCCAGCTTAGGTCTGAATCTCTTTTCTTCTCCATGCAAATCCCAAGACACTGTCAGCAACCTGGCTGGCAGAAGTAAAATAACATTAAAAAATTTTAAAATATTTAATTTGTTAAAATACTCTTTCATTTAGATGTTATATTAATTTTTTTTAAATTTGAGAAAATATACCTGTAAACATAAATCTATCTTCTGGCAAAGGCAATTTCATTTATTTTATATTTTTGCAACACAGGGGACTGAACTTAGGCCTCACACATGCTAGGTAAGTGCTCTACCACTAAACTGTACCCTCAACCCTTTCTACTTTATTTTGAGACAGGATCTTAATAACTTTCCTAGGCTGGCCTTGAACTTGTGATCCTACTACCTCAGCCTTCCAAACAGTTGGGATTACAGGTGTTGCCACCACACCCAGCTTTCCACCACAATTTTATTACACTCATAGCTCAAATTACTTGTGTTTGCTTGGTTTACAGTCATAGAAGAAGAAAGCCAACTTTCTTAAACTCTCAGGATTAATAAAGAGCAAGTAACACAAGGCCAAAACACACGAGAGGAAAACTTAAATGATCTTTCATTAATTTCTGAATTTATCCAGCACACACTTATTACACACTTACCACACTCATGTCACTATACTAGATACTGTGGAAGAGGCAAAGACAGGTGAGGAGTCCCAGCCCTGCCTTTGCGGTATCTATATTCAAAGAGGGGCAAAAATACTCAAGTGATTATCATGCAAGGAAAAAAAGCAAGACAAGCAGGAGTTTAAGCAGTAAAAGATGTCACCCAAGCCAGGGGTTCTGAGGAAGAGCTTCAGGGAGGGGGATCAGCAAACTGGGCCAGGCAGCTAAACAGACCTGGACACATGAAAATGAGAGCAGACAGCAGTCATTCCGGACACAAAATCATGGACATGGGGATCTGGAAGGAACCTGTCCCCTCCCGCCACCTCCTTGGTGGCAGGAAGCAGTGTGCACAGTTTCTCTTGTACACTGCTGCATCGCCAGGGCCCAGAGCTGTAGGTATCAAGTACTAGGCACCGGAGGCAATGGGGTGACAGACACACACACATGAAATGAAATTCGGAGCATGATCAGGTGGCTGTCCAGGGGCATGAAGACTGGGAAGACCCAGCTGACACTGGGACCAGACACAGCAGAGGCTGCCCACATTACAGGATTGATGGCTATGGGCAAGAAGGGAGGAAAGAAAGGAAGAGACGGAACAGCTGTGATGGCTGGAAAGTGATTTCCATTAAATACCGGAAAAGGAGCAATCGGGGACAGTCAGCGAGCGTAAAGACTCAAGTTGGGATGTGTGTGGAAAGCAATGCCAGGAATAGAATTTTAGCCACTTAGCCTTCCTATTTATTGTTTTTATTGGTGTACACACAACAGATCTTTTAGAATAAATACAAGACACTCCAAATTTTTTTTCTGTGCAGAAAAGCAAAAATTTCATTAAAAACCCATAATATCCTTTTTATCTATAAGAAAAGGCACCTGAAATCTGCTGGTCCCCACCCTCTTGTCCCCAAGTAAACTGTAAACACCAGGGCATATTAACACCAATGTACCAGGATCTCTCCAGGAATGCCAACCTCAAACTGCTTGTCGCTCTCTAGTAGGTTAAGGAAAAATACATTATGTAGGACGAATCAGTCAGTTACACAAGCTCAGTAAAGATGTGGTTATCAGGCCTGCAAATCTGCAGAGCCCAGTAGCTGTCCTAGATATACAAATTAGATGGACTCATTGCAAAATGATTTAAATCACGGTATTGGGCTGTCACACAAGGGGAAAGAAATAGAAAAGCTTTCAATTTGGCAATAAGCAATAGAGGGGACGCCATTCGGGGACAGAGTAGGGGAGGAATGACAGAGTCGTAGAGATCCACCCTGGGCTGCTGGTGACAATGGGAAATGGACAGTATCCAACCTTGGACACTGGCTTCCTCGTTGCACAATGGGCACCTGTGAGTTTTCTCTGCAACTAGATACTGTGGCATGTGACAAATGCCACTCTAACTCTTTTCCCTATTTTTTAAATGAGTAAATGATTCTTACTCAGGGGAGGTGGCCATGAGGTCACGGTGACCTACCTGCCATTCCTCCAAATCTTCGGCTGTCCTGTGTACCCCTCACTCATATTTCTTCTCTCAGAATTTGTATTTTCTACCTTGATATCAGTTATTTTTCCACCTAAACACTTCAATCTCTCGGCATATTTTTGAAAGAGCATTATTTTCTTCCAAAATGTTCTGACTATGGTCATGTAGGCTTATCAAATAAAAGTTCCATGAAGGTGAAAAACAGAGCTAAAATAAAACTTGAATTAGCTTTGTGCTGTTGTGCTGTATCAGCTGGGCACGTTACTATAGTTACGAGGCTTGTTTTGTCTGGAAAACAACTAAGGAGATTTGAGTTCAGCAAGGTAAAGATTATAAGATGGTCTATGAGCAGGGAGATACAACCAAGCAGCCCACCAGCTTCCCAGCCTCTTTCTCTCCTTTTCTTGGCCTGGTGCAAGCTAGGCAAATACTCTGCCACTAAGCTACATCCCCAGCCCTACAATCTGATTTTCTAAAGTTTGGTTTTGTTTCTCCATAATTCACTCCTAAAGAATTCCTTGATTGCCAAAAGTGACCCAGCACAAGCTACAGTAAAAGCTGGGAGAATCCAGAGAGCTGCGGTGTACAGGGACTTCAGGGAAAGGCTGTGCTACTGGATGAGAGAAACAAAACAAAACCAAAAAACAGATCACAAGTGATCAGCTAATCCCAAAAAGTACAAAGAGGCTGTCTTCAGTTTATAGCTAGAGTTGAGCATCAGGAGAAAGAGACTTTCTAATTTGTCTGTCTTGCTCCACTGTTTTGTAGCAGCTGAGCAAATGAGGAAGATTAAATTAGCTGTCATAACAACACCATGTTTAATAAAGTTAAAATTGAGAGAACGTCTTTATAAAATAGAATTCTAAGCCTAACACATTAATGGCGCTTAATGAACCAAAACTGAATAAATCCCTTTGGAGAGCCAACACATAAACGAAGCTATTAATTAGGTCACAGTTGTTTCTCAACAAGGCTTTTGTTTGATTTACTTACAGTAAACAAGACCACATCCAACTGTCTTTGTGGTGAAGTATTCACCAGTGCAACAAAATGTCATTGTTACACCTTAGGCCTCGCAATCACACACTTTGTGATGACAGTGCTGGGGATTCCCTCCTTGAACATCTGTCACTTCCCTCACTCCTCCCTATGCCTGGGCACTGCCCTCTGGAGCATCAGGCTTTGCAGCTGATAAAAAAGTGACCATGACCAAATGACTTGGACTGAAACTCGCAAAATTGTGAGCCAAAAGGAACATTTTTCTTTATAAGCTACCACGAGAGTCTTGTTATCATGACAGTAGGCTGACAAACACACTAGTGTCTCTCTGAATTCAAAGCCAGTGAACATCCAGAAGCTCCCCAGTATGGCAGATTTCCTCCTGGGGTACAGAGGACAGAGGCCACTGCTCATATCGGACGCTAAAGAATGCACAAGGTCTGTTCGGTGCTCTGAGGTCGACTCCGGCCACTCTCCATGAAATAAGTCAGCAACAGAAACTAGTCAAGTAAACATGTTTACGACTCCTGGTATAATCTGTGGTATCACTGACAACCTTGTGGACATGGAATTCTAAATTGAAGGTCTTCCAACATTGGAGCTGGGAATGCAAGAGGCAGGTCCATGGTGAAATTCAGGGACATCTCAGCCGTGACACGTTCAGAGTGAGCCCTCCTCTAAGTCTTCCTCATTCATCCAGATGCTCAGGCCCTGACCCTAGAAACCAGAACCAACTCCTCCCTGTTTCCTCATACCCACGTTTAACCCATCACAGTCCACTTGCCCTACTTTCAGAAGGAAGATAGTAGACAAATAATAATCAGAGACCACTGCTTGGAGCCTGCCATATGTACAGCCTCTAGGTCTGCTGTGTAGAACTCACTGATTATAATCGACAGACTCACAGCCCCAGATCAACCTTTCGACATTTGACCTTTACTAGGGTAGTCAGTTCACAGGCGCTTCAGCCAGTGGCCTCTGCCAAGTACTGCCAGTAGGGGGCGCTAAACAGAGACAGAAGGTTGCACATAGGCCAAAAGGTCTTGTTTTCTTGGCTGCTGCTTCCCCTACCAGCACTGCTCATGAGCTCAGTCTCTATCGTCTATGCCCAAGTTTGGAACCAGCCTTATGGACTTCCTTACTAACATGTCCAGTACTGGGCAGCACCTCCTCCTCTGAGGATAAACACCAATGCTTTAGGGGCCCTCCTCTGAGCTTCTACCGTGAAAATCTGTTCTCACTGCTTGTAAAAGTATCACTGTTTCTTCCCCTCAGGCTCCCAACCTTCTGATTCGTATGTAACAAGTTTCCTACATCAAATCCTCTTTGTTGAAACCACTTGTTTTTCCGACTGGGGTGTTTTATTTTAAAATAGCACTTTTGATCAACCAATCATTACTACTGTATTACACTTACGAAGTACAAAGTACTTCGTATGTATTATATGCATACAGTGTAGAACGGTTAAGTCAAGCTAATTAACATAATCGTAACCCGATGTATATGATTTTGTGTGTGTGTGTGTGGTGAGACATTGGAAACTTACTCTCAGTTATTTTGAAGTGTGCAATATATTAGGATTGATTAGTTTCCCTGCTGGGGAAAAGATTTCAAAACATACTTTTCCTCCTGTCTAACTGAAAGTGCATACCCTTTGTCCAACATCTCCATGTGATGTATCTCCAGCCTCTGATTTTCTGTGCCTGCTGATTTCACTTAACATAATGTCCTCCAAGAGCAGCAACATTGTTGCCAATGACAGAATTTCCTTCTGTTTTTAAGGCTGAATAGTATTCCACTGTGCATATGTGCCTCATTTTCTTTATGTACTCATCCAATGATGGAAGCTCAGATTGCTTGCACATCTTGGCTACTGTGAATAATTCTGCAGAGAGCATACAGTCACAGATAGTCCTTTGATATACTGGTATCATTCCCTTTGAACACACACTCCAAAGCGGAATACCTGGGTCATATGGTAGTTCTGGTTTTAGCTTTTTGAGGAATGTTCATACTGGCTGTGTTAATTTACATTCTAACCAACAGTGCACAAGAGTTGATGAGATCCTTCTTGAAAATGTTCTGTTTGGATCTTTCACACCTCCACTCAGAGCACATCCAGGTCCCAACAGCTTAGAGGTTCTGCAGCTTTACCCAACAACCTCCCAAGAGTTTAAACAAGAAGCTAATTTTTTGACCAAAAAGCTGAAACAACTGTGACACAGAAAAAATGACACTGCCCTATCCCTCTGTGTTATGAAACTTAGTGCTGCAAGGTACAGATCCCAGATTTGGGATATTTCATTAGTTGGTCATCTTAAAGAAAAATAGCCATTCAAATAATCTCTTAATACACAATCAGGAAAAGAGATGTACTAAATATGTTTACAGCACTGAATGCCTAGATCAGTCCTTGCGTTGGGGATAAGAGGAAAAATTGACAGAAAGTTAATTTATTGGGGGTTTCTATAAACCTTTAGAAGAAGGGCTAAATTGTGAAACGCAATATAAAGGAAGCCACCAGACTCCCACAGGGGATGCCTCACCATGATCTTGTCACTGTCGATGATGGTGTTGAGTCTGTGTGCGATGGTCAGCACGGTGCAGTGGGCGAACTTCTCTCGGATTTTTTTTTGTATTAATTCATCAGTTCTGGAGTCAAACAAGTTAAATTTAATTGAGTAAAGATGGAAAAAGTAAACTCAAGATGTCAAAGATCAGCTGGGCAGGGTGGCTCATGCCTGTAGTTCAGGCACTTTGGAAGCAGAGGCAGCAGGATGGCAGTGAGTTCATTGCCAGGCTGGGCTATTTAATGAGTTCAAGGCCAGCCCGAACTATGTGCCAAGACTCTGTCTCAAAAAGGACTTCAAAGATTATATGACATTTTAATTATTTTTTAAAAATCTATATTTTAAGACACTATCACATTAAAAAACTATAGAAAATCAAGTAGGAATTTACTGTTTTTCATAAAACAATGGAAAATATTACCCCCCTCCAAAATGCTTGAAACTATTGGAGGTGGAATTTAGGAGTCTTTCTCAGGAAGCCTAAAACACAAGTTGACTATTCCTTTTTTGAAATGCTTGGACTAGACAGGCTTCAGATTCTGAATTTTTAAATAATGGGGTACACATACCCTGAAGGTAAGTTTATACAGTATTTTTAATAATTTTAGGCACCACATTTAAAATTCATATTCAGTGTTACGTGGACTTCAGTTCTGTACCTTGGGTCAACATTAGCTGTTGCTTCATCGATAATCAATATGCGGTTTTTCTTCAGAATTGCCCTGGCAAGGCACACCAACTGTCTCTGTCCAACACTAAAATTGGATCCTGATTCTGCTAATTCAGTGTCCATTTTACCAGGAAGATCTTCGATGGCTTCTTTAAGCTGTACCTGTAGATGTAGATAATGACATTTTCCTCAGCAAACTACCACTGAAGCAGACAGGCCTCTTCAACATCAGAACTTCGAAGTCCTTTCTTCCGGAAGATTTGTCTTACCCATGTCACCTCATGACAGCAAGAGTTAAGTTTCAGTTCATGTTTACTACAGAGATAGGAGACTCAGAACAGAAAGAGTCTGATTTAAGTGAACAACCTTAACGGGACCCAAGGGGCTTCTCTGCCACCACCTCTGTAACTGCTGTCTTGCTGGCTCATGAGTTAGCAGTGCTGGTGCAATTTAATTTAAAAAATATACAGTGTGCTAAATAAAATTACTCTCTAGGTAAAACATACCAGAGTAGAAAATTCTCCTTAATTTTTAGCTAAAAGGTAACTACAGGAATTCATAGAGACAAAAACACAGAATGGTGGTTGGATAGAGGCTAGAAGATGAAGCAGAAACGGGCAAGAGGGAACTTTTGGGGTGAAATATTCCCAAACTAGATTGTCATGACAGTTGTACAACTCTACAAACTTACTAAAATCACCAAATCACACTCAAAAAAGAGACCATTTTCTGGCTTGTAACTTTTATCTCAATAAAGTTGGTATTGTAAATCATGTCAGAGACCCCATCACCTAAAAGCCAGTCCTGCCATGTGACATCCACCGACAGCCCTCTCCCCACAGAGCCAGGAATCGCTCAGAAATAAAGCGCTTTCTCCCACTGTACAAAATGTCTCTACAGAAAAGGTAAAAGGATTCTATGGTTGAGTCAAGTTTCCCAAAAGACATTTGGCACTGGAGTTAGTACTCTAAAGGAAAAACTAAAACACAAAATTAATGTAAGATGTATCACTCTTTAAGTAACAGGTACTTGACCATTCTGAAAGATTTTAATCAACTGGAAAAGCTTAAAAAATATTTCAGACAATGGGAAATGGCACCTTGTACGCTGGGAAATGATCCTATTTCAGGGATGGTTCTTTCCCAAGTTTAATCCCATACTGCTAAACTGTCACATCATGTGTACTGACCTCAGTGTCACAAATGCACTGAAGTGAATGAAAAATTATGGAAAACAGGAAACAATATAAGCCTCAGACTATGGGGTATTTATCTGTTCTTCTAAAATTGTAGTTATAAAATGATGTGAGTCTACAGTGGGTGGTGGTTCAGTTCAATGAATATTTTGTTTTGGAGAACAAGAGCCCAACATAGGCTATCTCTGAGAGATACAGAGGAACAAAGAGTCAATGTACCTCACATTAAGAGATCAGTAGACTGATGAGTGCAAGCAGATACACAGAATTACAGGGTCAAACAACAAAATGCCAGGGGTAAAGGGGCAACATTTCCAAGTTACCCTACGTGCTGAGGCATTTCTATGAAAAAGTCCTTGAATTGTGCTCATGCTAGAAGCCCAACTCTAAGAATTGGGAAGTCTGACTTGAGATTTAATAGGGAATTGGTACTCAGTGCTAACATGCAAGACAGGGAAATGTATGAAACCTGAAGTTTACCATTTGGATCATGGTGCGTGACCCTGCACTGAAAACCACAGAAGATGTCACCTTGGTCAAGCCTTCCATTATAAGGAAGAGGACTTCCTGAGTACTGCTGCTAGGAGAAAGATACACAGATCTACACCAGGGTCCTGGGACCCATTTGTTGACAGCAGGATTTTCCCCTGAATGGACTTTAGTAATACTGGTGACATGCAGGTTTTTCTTTCTTTTTCTTTTTCTTTTTTTTTTTTTTTTTTTTTTTTTTTTTTTTTTTGTTTTTTGGTGGTACTGGGGATTGAACCCAGGGCCTTCACGCTCAGCTATATTCCCTGCCCTTTTTTTGTTTTAATTTTTAATATCAAGATTGGGTCTTGCTAAGTTGCCCTGGCTGGGTTCGAAATGTATTTCTTCAATGAGTTTTTCTTATGACTGAAAAAAATAATCTTACAGTTTCCCCTGACTAAGGTGACACCGTATCACTTATCTGGGTTTTGACTTTCCTTCAGGTTGCCTGTATCTAACTTGAAGAGGAATAAGGGTTTCGAGGTGAGAACATGGGATATATCTTCCAGAAAATAGATCTGAGCCTCTGTCTTCATTAATGAATCAGAGAGGCTATGAGAATGATAACAGGGTGAAGGTCCTCTGAAGCGCTATCCTATGCTCTAGGTATGATGAAGAATTAGAAAGAAAAGCACAAGAGAGGTAGGAGAAGATAGTACGAGTAACAACAGGGAAATATGTCATAATGGCACTGTCATCATAAATTTATGAGTGAGATAGTAACTGTTAACCACCAAATGATTCAGCAATATATCAACTGTACAAGAAGAAGACAGATGGGGCAAGACAGTAATAGATGAAGAATTGAGGTGAAGGGTATGAGGTTTCACTAACTGTTCTGTGATTTGGAAAAAAAATTATTTTTGTTTTTTGAGAGAGGGACTATGTAGTTTAGGCTGGCCTTGAACTCACTATGTAGTTCAGGCAGGCCTGGAGCTCTCAGAGATCCTCCTGTGCACCACCATACCCAGCTTCAAAAATTTTCATCTATTTATTTTTTTATTTTTTCTACCTCCCCCCAGTGCAGGGGATCAAACTCAGGACCTTGTGCTTGTGAGGCAGGCACGGTGCCACTGAGCTAAATCCCTGACCTCGAAATTTTAAAATAAACGTATCAGGCCTTTTAAAAACCAGATAGCCAGACTTGAGTCCTGCCTAGATTTGCCACTAGGGTAAGTTCCTGAACTTTCTCTTCGCTTGTTCATGAGACATAATATTATTATAATCAAGATCTCTATCTCCAAATGCCACTGAAGTATAAAGTAAGTCAGTACGTGTGTTCAGAACAGTTCTTGCTAAAGGGGAAGAGATCAATAGATATTGCCTATTACTAACAATGCTGCCAGCCAGCTTGCTTCACGTTCTGCTTTATTGTTCTTCATTGCATTTATTAGCACCTAGCTGTATTCACACATGCATTTGCTTATTTTCTATCTTCTCCACAAGAATTAAAGCTCTAAGAGGGGACCCTGTCTCAGAATCTACAAGACTCTCAGAACCTATGCAACAAGATGTCAATAAATATTTGCTGAGTATACGAATGAAACCACAAGCACATCTTATTTCACGGCATGTTTCTTCCTATAACTTAGAAAATATATTTATATGGATACATAAATTTCATTATAAAAAAGATATATTCTTTATAAAAGTTCACTAGCCCCAGGATATCCTCGGAGCTATGCTTTAAAATGTGAAGCATTTTTAAAAGTTGTAATTTCAAGCTGGGTGTGGTGGTACACAACTGTGATCCCAGAACTCTGGGAGGCTGAGGTGGGAAGATCTCAAGTTTGAGCCCAATCTGGGAAATTTAAAAATTAACAGGGGCTAGTGATGTAGCTTAGTATCAAGGTCTAGGGTTCAATCCCCAGTACCACACATACACACACAAAAACTGTTACAATTACAGAAAACTGTATATTTCAGTATAGAGCATGTCCCATTATTTTTAAGCTTGAGAAAAATAATAAGTACAGCAAAACTACAAATATACTGAACCTGTAAGACATCCCCGCACCATAATCTTAAACATCTTCCGAGTCACCCACTGTGCACCCCTGGTAGATACCAGGGGACAGTGACCCTCACAGGAGATTACCAGCGACAACAGATTCTGCTTCTGCTTCCTGACTTTACAAAAGGGAAGGCAGAAGCAGGCTGGGATGGGATGAAAACACAGCCTGAAATGCAATCAATGGATGAAGATGAGCTTTTACCCAAGTAAGATGGCAGTAAAAGGGGTAAAAAGGGAGCTTATTTGCTGAAATCCATGGCCTCAGGGAAAGGGGACAGCAAGATACAGAGGGAGGCAGGGCTGAATGAACCATTCCCAAGGTGATGTGGACGGTGTTGGTTTCCTGTGTCGTGAGACATTCTTGTACTGTGGTAGGGATACTATCAATGGGGACCATCATGGGAGGATGTCTTCACCATCCTACACGATGTGCATGCCCCAGCAGAAAAGCTGCAACATGCTGCTGACTCATTTGCAGTTTTATTTACTGTGACCTCGAGCATTTTTGATACACGGCTTCATTTATAGTTATTACTTCTGTTATATTTACAGAGTTGCCTTTGCTTCTGAGATGCCCCAACGTGGCACTAATTCTAATAAGATTTCTTCACTTCATAGCTATTTTTTTTTTCAGTATTTGTGGCAACTTTCAGTGTATTTAAAAAATAACCAAGATAAAACAGGCAACATCCCTAGGACTCTGTCTCTTCTGAAGGCCAAACCTACTCTCTTACCTCTGGATCTACACTCTCTAAGGGAGAAGGACTTTTCCCTCTAACTTGACACTATTAAGGAAAGAGGTGAATATAGCACGGCTTCTAAGGAATCTCAAGGTGACTCTGTAGGTTGAGCTCCCATTTCTAATTGGCACCATGTAAACCAACTCATTTGGTGGCACTTTTGTGTATATGTGCTGCCAATCATCTTGCACATTTAAGTATTTGCTCTCTCACTGAGCTACTCTCCCAATTAAGATTTTAGTCTATTTTTGTAGGAGTTAACAAAGACTCCACTAAAGACCAGAATAGGTTGGGCTGCTCTGGTTTGCATAAAACAGGAAGAAACCATGGAGACAGCAGACAGAATATAATACAGCAATTCAGAGGAATGTGTGTGGATCAGAGCAGACCAGTGAGGACTGCCCATCCGCTCCAGCGCCTCTGCAGCATTTCCCTCCCACCTCCCTCCACATGCACTCAGGCCTCCCAGTTGTGCCGGTTCCTGGATCCACACTGCAGAGGCACAGGTGGTCATAAAGGCCATTTTACTGAGCTCCAGAAGATAGAACAGAAGTGAACAACTGCAATAAAGGCACATCAGACCTCCGTAGTTGTTGGTAAGTTGGAGGGATTACCACCTTCCATCAGAACTTGGCCTATCTTCAGGGTAAGGGCAGCAGGAACCTGCAGTAGAACCTTGCAGAGTTTCACCCTGCAGGAGGTCAGGGAGCTCAACTCAGGCCTTGCAGCCAGAATTCGGCCTGAATCTCAGGGGTCTGCTTTTGGCTTGCTGAGACTAATGGACTTAGTTCTACACATTGCTGCCTATATTATCTATTGTGACAGCAGAGATGTACCCTCAAAGGGGCTCTTCAATTTTTTTTCTTTTCATCATATTTTTAACTTTTATTTTAAATTTTTAATTTTTTCCCATTCTGCAAATTCTTCCTTTTTTTCTTTCTTCTTTTTCCCACTCAGTCTCTTGCTCCCCCATGTTATTCTTCATCTCCCTTTTTGTCCCTATTCCTGCCCAAATTCAGATTTCTTCTTTCTCTTTTCTTCTTTTTCCTTCACTTGATTGTCATTAGTTTCAAAGAAAAGTGAGTACACTTTATAGCTTTCCTGTTACTGTTAAGTTTTTCTATTCTTGTCTTTGTGCTTGCACTGTCTTTCCCTCTTGTCTTCAACAGTTTCCTAGAGTTTGAGTGATCATCCTGTGTCCTCTGGCTTCACTTAAACCTTCTATTCTTTCACCTATCTTTTCCTCTCCTCCCAATTCCTTCTAAGTCCCCATCCTGAAGGGTAAAGTTGCTATACTGAAGAGTTTATTCACTATAAACCTATTTTGGCCTGGTCCTCAATTTTGATTTAATTCACACGGTTAAAGGTGATAGATTAGTAGCTGCCACAAACGGCAATTTCTAAGCTGTGCTTGACGATGTTGTGTTGCTGATTGTATCAACTGGGCTAAAGGGTTGTGATTGATTTAATGAGTTGTCCTTTCTGATATTATGAAAATGAGAGTGTCTCTGAGCCATTAGAGGCTGAAAACCTAAAGAGCAACTATATCAGGAAGATCAAAGTATTAACCCAGGCATTAAAACAAGGACGGACCAACAACAAAAATAAAAATGAAAAAAACACTTAAGCAAGGCACAAATACAGACTTTCAGTACACCAACAGCAAATTCTAAGGGAAACAAGGTGGAAAAGTCTGACAATCAACAATTAGGACACCCTGAACTCATAGCCCAGGAAGTAACAAAACAGATCAGGCTCTAGAAAAATTTAAAACAGAAATAATTTCCCAGATAACAACAGAGATGGCAAGCACAATGAAAGACATGATTAGGGACTTTAGAACAGAGACCAAAAACAAAACAAAACAAACAAAAAAACCCAGCAACAACAACAAAACAACAAAAAATCTTGATGAACTCAGGACCATGATAGAAGCCATGAATGCCCAGCATAGAAAAGAAATGGAATCCATGAAACAGATTCAGATATCCAGGAGATTAAAAACTCTATTGAAAGCTTTCACAGCGGGATGAATGAATGTGAAGATAGAATTTCAGATACAGAAGATAGGATTGCAGTCAGTGACCATGAAAAGAGAGATCTCTTAAATGTTTTTAAGGGATCATGAGAAATAGATCCAACAACTCCTAGTTGATGCAAAGAAGAACAACATAAGACTGAGAGGAATCCACGAAGTAGCAGGAGAAAATACAAGTGACTTAAAAAAACTGTTCACAGCATTAATGACAGAAAGCTTTCCCAAACAGAGGGGAAGAATTGACACACAGATAAGTTAGGCATATAGGACTCCAATTAGCCATGATCAAAAAAATCTACACCTAGACATATAATAGTCAAGATCCTGGAAATCCAACAGAAGAGCAAAATACTGCAAGCAGTTAGAGAAAAGAAACAAATCACATGCAAAGGAAAGCCCATCAGAATCACAGCAGACTTTTCAACACAAACCCTTGGGGCAAGGAGAGTGAGGTATTTCAAGCCCTAAGAGAAAACAACCTCCAACCTACACTGATGTGTCCTACAAAAGTATCTTTCAAGATGGATGGGGAAATAAGACACTTCCATGACAAAGAACACCTGAGAAACTTCATGAATACCAAACCAGCACTACAAACAATTCTAAACAATATCCTAGAAAAAGACAGTGAAGGTTACAACACCATGAGGTCCAACAGAGCAAATCAATTAGGCAAGGCAAGAAACTAAAGGGAGAAGGGGAAAAATTTTAAAGAGCCAACAACAGGACAATAACATGACAATGACAAGTGAATACAGAAGAATATGAGTGGCCCTGGATTCAAGGTGCTAAATCCTTTGCTGGTATCTCCCCAGATAAATGCACTTAGAGCATCACACTTATAATTCCAATGAGGTGAAGTTGTGAACCCACCTTCAAAAGATCTGATCTTCCAAGGATTCCAGGGAAAGGATTCTTGACACCCAATGACCCCAACATCCATAAACTCATGGTCATGAAACTCTAATTACCACTGCAAAAAATTTAAAGTATGCTAGAACATATGCTAGAACTCAGCTACTTTCCCCCATCCAGATGATAAAAGAATAGAAGTGCTCTAGAAAAAAATACCCTGCAAAATGAAGGAAAAAAACCTCACACTGTTTTAACAATCTCCATACAAGCAATATAAATAGTTTCATGATAAAATTTCTTAGGTACAGATTTCTGAATAAGTATATGATTAAGAAGAACTGGAATCATATAAATACAATGTTGCCCCATTAATCTTTAGGAAAGCCACCAAACCTTTCAGTTAAAAGTATATAATGTCACAAGGAATTATTGTGGATGACGTGTTCTTAAAGTAATTTTACTACCTGAAAATCTGTGAAGAGAAACATCAAGCTCTGAAGCAAGTAAATTATTTACTCGTAATTCCTGTTCTTTTAGGGTGTGTCCCACTGTCACTGTTAAATTTGTCCAGTGAGGACATAAGCAGAGGATCGCCTAGACTGTCTCTACCATCTTTGACACACAACAGCTCTCCCCACATCTTCCCTCCTTGAATTTCATTAGAAATTCACAGCCTTGAATGAAACCAGAGGTCAACTACTTTTCAAGCAGGAGATGGTGAAGTGTGCATCCCCATTTGGGACAGTGAAATCCCCACAGTTGCTGGAAAGCTGGGTGGATATATGAAGACTCAGCATGGACATGCTTTCAGAAACAAGAATTACAGGCAGGAAGCTGTCAGGCCTCCAAATCTACTTGCTACCCACAGAACCCCTCTTTATGATTTCAGCGCTAACCCTGAAAAGGGGCAACAATGACAAATGCACCAACCCAAAGCAAAAGTAATGACGAGGACAGATCACTGAGATTTGTGGGTTTTTTTTTTTTAAAGAAATTTCTAGGAAATGAAGAGATCAACCATTCAATACATATTCATTAAATGCTTACTTTTTACCAGTAAAAGCATGAGCTAGGTCCTATGAGGAATTAGAAGCCTAAGGTATGGTTTCACTAAGTAGCTTAGAATTAATTTGTAAAACTAGAGTGAGCATGCAAAATACTCAGTGTTGAAATACATATAAAAACCAACAACATCTTAACAGTCAAAGCCCTTGTCCTGCGAGGGCAAGGAAATGCAAACCAGTGGTCCGCAGGGCAACACTACACAAATAATAGAAAATCCTGTAGAAATGAAGGTATCTGTCTAAAAACTCAGCAAAGGCTCTGGGGTTGTTACCTGATTCATTCTGTAACATTAAAATGACATGTTCGCTGATGAATAATAATTGTCACATTCTAACAGCATAATTAGGCTTTATTTATAAGCATGTTTAAATAAAACTTGAAAGGCTTCTACAAGTACGATCTCAGTTATCTTTCAGTTAAAAACAAGGAACTATTCAGTTCCTGAGAACTTCCTAAGAATAGAGCAGTAGAATGAATGTTACAGGGCACTTAGCCACTGAGATAACTTGAACTCATGCACACAACTTCTAACACTGCTCCACTAAGGACAAAGAAGATAAGGTATCCTGCTGTTAGATTATGAGAGACGTGAAATGAAAACATGAGACATTTTACTTCTGGTTTCCATAATTATCAATATGTACATTTAATATATCCATGTCATCAATGTCCTGTGTGGGAAACAATTGAGTTAAACCAATCAGCTCCCCTCAGTTAGCTGCAAATATACATACACATAGTCACAGGATATAAATTACCTCTTCTAAGGCATTCCACAGTTCCTCATCTGTGTGCTCATTGAAGGGATCCAGGTTTTTCCTCATTGTTCCAGTAAACAAAACGGGTTCCTAAATGCCCCAAAAAGTAAATGTCATTACTGTACTCTCTTTCCATCATATTCAGAGCCTAACTCTCAGAATAGAATTAAACTGCCCCCCAAAACCCCTAAATTCACTATAGGCATTACTTCTAAGGGTGCAGATGCCTGCTTACAAAATTCTATTGCTTTCCCATAGTAGAAATTGTGCTCCAAAATCTATTCCATAAAGCTGTATGCTCACAAAAGAAACTGCTGCAGTATTTCATATTAATAAGGGATGAAGAAAAAAAAAAGGAAGGCTGAGAGAGAGAGAGAGAGAGAGAGAGGGAGGAGAGGGAAAGAAAAAAGAAAGAAAAAGAGAGAGAAAGAACATACTTTCTTGGTAATATCTGTGCAGACATAAAATGCAAAGATATACTTATTTGAAGAACTTTATATCAACAGAACTACAGAAATTAGTTGTCTATCCTGGTGTCACACTGGAAAATACCAATTGCATGCATAACTAGTTGATGAAATATTTTATTCATTGGTAAACAGTCATCCAGGATTGGGAGTCTCCCTGCATGCTGCAATGGGACCTTCTGGCCTTTGTCCAAAGGGGACATAAATTAATGGGGCCAGTGGCACCTCTAGTCATGAAGAGATCGCCTCTGATGTTGTACCAGCAAATCCCTGTGTTATCTTGGCTGTGCATCAGGGATGCCTGCCTTACCAAACCTCATTATTAACTACAAGGGCAAAATAACTTGAAACCCATTGTGAGGCATATCATGTAATAAAATTATTTCAATTTAAATAGCTCTTTCTAATCATATGCCTTAGAAGGAGTCCATAATTAAGTTGCTCTTGAAATACTCTGGATTTCAAGAGAGAATCATGTCCAAAAGCTTTTGGCATCCGTGCAAATGCTATCTTTTACAAGTCTCTAGCAGCCCAGGCTGCGTGGTCAGGGCAGCAGAGAACTCAACTGGCTTTTTCAGTGAAGGTGCCCGGATGAGGGGACAAGAGAAGCAATGGTTCTTCCTCAGGTCCTGGAGAACTGCTCAAGGGACATCAGCTTCCACTCTTGTCTGGTCCCGGGGCTGGGCTCCAGTGCCCAAGAAAAAAAAGACTAAGGGTGACTCCTCTCTAGCCATGAAGAAGAATGACATTTCTAGCAGACTCTCGGTCTTAAGATCAGTATGGGAAAAATGGAAGCAAAAGGCCAATGGCTTCCCATTAAAATACACAGCAAAATCCAAAAATTAAAAAGACATTATAGCCAGGCATGATGGTGCACGCCTGTAATCCCAGCACTCGGGAGGCTGAGGCAGGAGGATCTCTATGAATTTGAGACCAGCCTGGGCTACATAGTGAGTTCCAGGTTAGTCTCAACTACATAGTGAGATCCTGTCTCAAAAAACTTAAAAAAAACTACAAAAAAAAAAAGACATTAAAACAGGCATTATATCACACTAAGTAGTTGATTAAGTGACCAATATCTCTCAAAAGCACCAAAAAATGAATGGTCAGTCATACAATGTTTCAGAATCACTACTGAATTGAACTTAAGGGAAAAAACAAAAACAAGAGCTTTTATTTAGATGATAAAGATGTGGTATACATACACACCAATTTTCCAAGATGAATGTAATTATAAATTATAAATACATACTAATAAAAGAAACTGAAATGGTTAAAAAAAAAGAATTTTCACTTAAATCTACCGAGTTTAAGGCTAAAGTCTAAACAACAATCTACGCAGTGGTGGGGATTTCTTGTTAGGGAATTACCATCATTCTTTTTAAAAGAAAACAAACACTACCACGACCAACTCTAAGATTCCAACAAGTTGGGTAGTGTCTTCTTTTGTTGCTTATATGAAGCTTAAAGGGCAACGTTTCTGGGGCAGGGTGCTGCTACCCACCTTTCCTCTCTACATGACGCCTCTCCCGCCACCCCTAAGGAGCTCCTTGCTATGTGATATTCCACTCAGGGTCTGGGAATGGTGTTGGAGGAGACACAGGGGCTGGAAGGATGGACTAAGGAATCAGCTCTGTGCCTACAAGGAGAAGACAGAAGTGGTCTCTTGGCCTACATTAACCAGCACAGGTCCATTTTCTCATCAGGGTGGCTTCTATCACCACAACTACTTTCTCTTTCAGGCTCTTCTACAGCAAAATCATTTCTCGTAACAGGTCTAGTTTGATGAAAGTATCCTCCTGGGGGTTTACAAAGTATACTCTTGTGAGATGATTCCTAAGCCAATCTATGAGAAAACTGCTTTGCTTTTTACAAACAAGTCTTCCTCTGTTAAAGGATGAAAAGGTTCCTAGTATTTAGTGAATCAGAAATACTGATTCGGTGTCTTATGCGAACAGGCTCAGGAATGCATGAGAAGTCCAAACCCCTACTTCTGCATCAGGGCCTTGCACCTGTGTCCTCCCTCACCACCTCCCTTAGGAACTCCGGGGAATGATGAGTCTCTTCAAAGACTGGGGGACTAACATGAGATCTGAGGCCTGGGCCATGTGCAGCTGTTCTGTGATGGCCCAAGGAGATTCTGTTACTTGTCGCCAAACCATGTTGGGCTGGCAGGAGAAGACAAAAGTTAGGTTCGAGCACCTCCCACTGCAATAGAGCCCTGCCTAAATTTATACTGTCAGTTTAAATGAATAATGTTGGGCAATCACTGATGTTTATTCAGTAGTATCAGAAGAAAAAATTTAGTAAAGAAGAACATTTTTGTCCTTTGTTATGGCATGCTGAATATATATTTCATGGAGTAAAGTTCCCATCAAAACTTTTGAATGAGGAGAACGATTTAATAAAATATTGAGTGAAGCTACATTTTTCTTTAAAACCAGCAAGCAATTTGTTCACAATGCCTGTTTTACTATGCCAATGTGTTTTATGTGTGGTGTTCATTTTGGTTTCTACTCATTCTACTTTCATGCACTTGCCAAATAAGAAACCATTATATTATCTCCAAAAGGTAATAAAAGTGCTCATAGTAGACACATATTGCAGGAGTAGATAAGGGTCAAATTAATTATCGTTTCTGATAGATATTATTATTTCAAGTACCCACCTCTATGCATTGAAGCTAATAAACTAGTATTATAAATAAGTGTTGTAAAAATGTTTGCAGGCAGAACATTTCAGTGTGGAGATTTATGGGAGGACATACAACCTTCTTATAAATATATATAAAATTTATTAGGCTAAATATATTTTTTTCTGAAGGTACATGTTTAAACCTTGTTTAGTAAGAGTTTTGTTTTTACTTCTACAGTTGGTTGGCACAGTACAGTTAGGGAAACAAATGCTCTTGTTTAGTGCAATAATTTAAATGGAAAACTAGTATCAAACATGTTTGTCATCATGGTTTAAAGTTCAAGCATTTTTTTAATCCTTTGTTATAATTAGTAATTAACTGTTTCCTCTACTATTAATATCATAACTTCGTGTTAGAGAGATGGCCCAACAGTGGCCCATGTGAGTCGAAATATTTAGGACAGTAAATTGATAATCCCTCAAGACAAGTGCAAGACTAAAAACCACGGACTTACTAGACCTTTTGTGCACACCGACTGGAATACAGGCCTCCATTATCTCAAGAAGAAACCCTACCCACTGACCTTCAGTCACTTAAAACGACAGCCTCAGACCAAGACAAATCTGTTACCAACTAGCAAGACAAAGCAGGACACTTTGCCCTCATCTTTTTGGGTCCCAAACCAGGAACTTTCCTCTACTAAAATATACTTCAACAGTTGCTACTGCTGCTACTGCCCCTATGTGTTTATTTTCAAATCCCAAGAACCTTTTTTAAGGGCAGCACATCGCCTGCTCTCCAGAATGAGGGAGTCACCTGAAGTCACTTTAAATCTTTGTTCCCTTTTTTTTTTCCAGTCCTGTAGCCTCTGAATGAACTGATCACCATCCATTTTCAGAAGAAAAGAACATTGTTCACCAACAAAGGAAAAAGAATTTAAGTCGTGTAAAGTCTTCTTTAAATACAAAAAGGTCACCAGCTCCAGAGAGTGGTTCCATGGGCTGTAATGAAGACTTCAGTGTGCAGAAACAAAGGCAGACTGCATTAGGCCCAGATCCAATTGTATTTCTTTACTAGTAACAGCATACCTACCTTTTTTCTCTTTGAGTTTTGTTCTCAGAAAAGAAAGGAAGAAAAAAAGAAAATAGAAAAGAAAACCAGGTAATCAAAAAGAAGTCTTAAAGGGACACAGCTCTGGTTAACCTTTTCAACTTATTGAAGAAAATTCAGAAAATAAAAATACCAAAACAGCAAAATGGACTGTTTAAAAACTACCTGACTTTCTTCTAATATAATTTTTGAAAATCTATTCAATATAAAAAAGGAATATTTAATCATGATAGAGATTTTAGCTGTTGATGTGCACCAACCCTCGGGGTGCCATAATAAATGTTGAATTTGCATGGAATTACTCTTCAACTGAAAACATTTTCCTTGTGCCAAAAGGAGAGGGGCACTAGGTATAAAAAATCCACCCAAAAGAGTTTTGAAATCCATTTTTCCAGATGCGCTATGATAAGCAAGCTATACCCTGAAGACAGTCTCAGCTTGGGGTTCTTATCAAGGAGTGCATTTAACCACTTCAGGTCAGGAGCTTAAAAATGTGGTTCAGCTCCCCGCTCTTTTGAAGGAGGTAACTTAGGAAGCACCTTCACAGTTGGCTTATTGCTGAAATTTTAACACCCATGGAGGAATCCCTTCTTAAGGACACAGGGTTTGTTTCAAAAGTGACACCCATACTCCTACCCAGGTCCTTAATCCCCAGCTCTACACTGATCACGGAAGGTTCAAGAGGGGCAAGGACCCTGACCCTGAACCATCAGAAGAGAGAGGACAGGGCATTTCCTCTTGGTCACAGAAAGGGCTCTGAGCTCCAGAGAGGTGTATATCTGACCCTTAGCCCTTGACACAGCAATGAACCTGTTCCTTAAACAATTTTCCTTCAGTGCTGAGTGTCACAGGTTTTGTTCTGCAAAAGAACCCTCCACCAAAATTTAGTTTTTCAAAACTATTGTACTGAACTGTGCCAAGGAGGGACAAAATCGTAGGAGAACGTATCTTTTGACTTTGTTCTTATTTATTCCCTTCACTCATGACTTTTGGGGATCCTTTATAAGTGAGGTAGATAGAAAACACATAAAAAATCTGATGAGATATGATTCAGCTGTCAACAAATGTTTACTAAAAAAATTTTTTTTAGTCTGATAGTCCTGCGTTTTGACTCTATTCCTTATTAGCTGTTGGCCTTAAGGCAGGCTGTAAATCTTTTGCAGGCCTCAGTTCCCTTCCTGGGACATGGGGCTCAGCCTATCCACCTTGCACAACTCTATGGAAAGACTAATATAACCAAATTTGTTTCTTGGTGCTGAGCTGGCCACATGGGGCAGGACAGAGGGCAGTGTTGCAGACTGCAGGTGCAACCAATGGATCATGAAATCAATTTTGTGGCTCATGATCATCATTTTATGTTTTATATGAACTTGAATAGAATGGATAAAATAGAAAATATCAGAGCACAGAGTGACAAGTGATGATGCTTTATGAAATTTTTGTTTCTGAGCATGTGTGCATGCAGGGGCATGCATATGGGCCACAGGGCATCAGGAAACAAAACAATTATTCCTGCAGATCCCACGGGCCACAGTGAGTTACAGGAGCATGTGCAGGAGCCTCAGGAGCTCCCTCCTTAACAATCTCCCTGAATTAGCCTTGAAGCCTGGCTCTTCAGTTTTTAACTCTGTCAAATGAAAGCGACAAAAAAAATTGACCAAACCATTAAGTGAGAGGTGTCAGGGAAGGAAGCTAAAATATGTGGAGGGTTCCACCAAGGTGAGGGATTACCACCCCATGGGTAGCTCATCAGGGCTGCAACAGACATCAGAACAATGGGGGGGCAGCCCTGTCTTCCAGGAGATAGCCAACAGCGAGGAATGTGGGGACAATGGCTGTGGGCTTCACGGGGGCTGCAAAATATTACACGAGTACTAAGAAGGAGTCAGGAAGTGGTATAAGCCAGGGAGGGAGGAAGCCAGGAAGGCAATGTGATGGTCTTGTCTTTTGTTCCTCCAGGGGAAAATATTCCATTTCTCTATCAGGCTTTGTCCTAGAACTCCTATTGTGTGTGTGCTTTGGTTTGGGTTGGCTGCCTCACTATTTATACTTATGTAAATAATTTTGTTTAAAGAAAACCACCAAGAATTACAAAAACATAAACAAGGAAATCAATGAGTCAAGACCCATTTTACTTCAGGAGCAATCATACCTAAAAGGGTAGTACCCTAACTCTTAATAAAGTTACTGTTGGGCCGGGGATTTAGCTCAGTGGTTTGGTGGCCTGCCTCACAAGTGCAAGGACCTGAGTTCAATCCCTGGTACCAAAAATTAAACAAACACATACATACATACATACATACATACATACATACATACATAAATAAATAAAGTTACTGCTTTTCAAACATTTCTGAGAACCAGGAACAGGGTTCTAATGAAGCCAATTCTCCTCCCCTCCCCCTCCTTTTTTTAGTACTGGGGATCAAAGTCAGAACCTTCTGCTTGTGAGGCAGGCAGCACCACCACTGAGTTAAATACCCAGCCCTGACTGAGCTAATTCTTCTTAACAAATCTGTGAGGCAGAAGTTACTAGTCTGGTTTTAGGATGAGGACACTGAAGATGGAGGGCAAGGTGACATACTCAAGGTCATTCACTTGCAGAAAGCAGTGAGGGACAAAATATGTGGGTCATGTTCGTGCTCAGTACACGCTGTCCAGAATGGATTCCTGGGACCCTTTATTCACTACTGTATGTTTCTTGTATCAACCAACACTGCGCCTTGGAGACAAAGGCATATAAAGGCAAAATATAAAGGTTCCGTGTTTACAATGCTTGGTGATCGTGATCTACATAGATACAAAGCTCAGCCCTGTTTTGTAAGTACGTTCTCTGGAGTGGATACACAGAGCATTTGCCCAAAAGGAGGGTGGGAACTTATGGAACAGAACCAAAACCTGGTGATGTCAAGTTGTACTTAGTCTTTGCTCAGATGTGCTTCCAAAACATTCCTGGCAGAGCCAAGAATCATCTAATGCTACTCCTTTATTTAGAGCTCTTTTATGTACACAGGCATACAACCATTTCTTATGAAGAAGCATTAAAAGTAGCATAGGGCACGTTTCTAGAGCCTTTCATTCAAAGATATGAAAGTACTTTATGGACAGGCTCATTGTCTCTATTAAATAAACCTCCTCTGGCCCATTTCTGAGACGAGTACAACCAAAAGATCTAACTTGGGAATTTTAGTTTTTGTCTAATACTGTAACCACTAAGTCATTGTTCTAAAAGCCAGAGGGAAATTCATGTGCTGAGAAAAACTTATGTTTTTATTGAAAGGGTGATCTATTTTTTTTTTGAATTGTGAGAAAATACATATTATATTAAATTTACCACCTTAACCACTTTTAAGTATGTAGTTCAGTGTATTAAATATTCACACTGTTTTTGTGTTCTTCACCACTATTCAGAGGATTTTTTTTTTTCATGTTATAATACTTATGGAAACTGTACTCATTAAACAAGGTAGCATCCCAGCCTTTTCTGAGCTCCTGGCAAATACCATTCCCTCTTCATGACTCTAAGTACCTCATATTAGCAGAATCATTCGGTATTTGTTATTCTGTGACTGGCTTTTTTCTTTTAGCATAATGTCTTCCAGGTTTATCCCTGCGGTAGGACATTTCAGAATTTCCCTCCTTTTTAATGCTGAATAACTTCCCATTGTATGTAGAAGCCACATTCTGCTTATCCATTCAACGGATGATGGACACTTGGGTGGCTTCTTCCTCTTGGCCACTGTGAATGCTGCGATGAACATGGATGGACTATATCTCCTCCAGACTCTGCTTTGATTCTCTGGGCACATACCCAGAGGTCGAGTTGCTAGATCATGCAGGGGCTCTCAGCTTTGTGAGGAGTTGCCATACCATTCTGTTCCATGGCTGTACTATTTTATATCCCCACCAGCACAGCACAAAATTTCATTTTTCTCCATTTCCTCACCTAACACATTATTTTTTAATTTTTTGAAAGGAGCCATTGTGAGGTGGTATCTCATTGTGGTTCTGGGTAGCCTGATTTCACAATTTCTAGAAGTATTTCCTGTATTTGAGAGGACAATGGCAGGTAGCAATGGCTGTACTCAGTCATAAGATAATTGCTCATGTTCTCCTTCCCTTGGGTGGCCACCTTCTCAGTGCCACCTAATAAACAGTATTTGAAGGCTCGTTCTGCCCACATGCCCAGAGAGCGCATCTCTAGATCTTTTTTTGTTTCCTCTCTGTATTTCTCATCTTGGTATGCATCTGTGTATGTTCCTTAGCTTCCCTTGACGGCCAGATGATTGCAGAGTGTAAAACACCCCAGAATTCCCACCTAGCAAGTCTGGAGTTGAATACGTGCAAGTGTCAGGGCCAAGGACAGAATGAAGATTTGAAGCCCCAGAGTTGCAGGCCTGTGGGGACAGGCCCACTGTACTGGAGGACAGTAATTATTCAATAAATACTTTCTGGATTGACGTTGAATAGATGAACTGAAAGCAATGACAGGAGTCTCTATTGTGCATGTAATCCAATCTCTAGAACACTCCCTAAAAGTCTTCTATTATGAAGCAGAAGAAAACAAAATCAGAGCACAAGAGGACAGCAGTGAAAGTCTCCACCATTACAGCAACAAGGATGAGGTCCGAGTGAAGCACTCTGCACACACTGACAGCTCTCAAGAGGTGCGACCACTGGCTGATGGGCAAGGAAGAGAAAACAGGAGAGCAGAAAGCTGCAATTCCTTTTCCTTGTCTTCCTTGCCATCCTGTGGTGACTGCTTCTCTGGCTAAAATCACGTACTAATGCCTACGCTCTAAGAATGTCTGTGAAGCATCCATAAGCTCTGTAAATCTCAAAGCCCCATGGTTTCACAGAGGCCCTCTATGGAGATAATCACCCCTGAAATGGTAGCTTTACTTCCTACAGCAAAATTCCCTCATTAAGACACTTAAAACTCCAAGTTTCCCTACAGAAATCTCTCAAGTGCTAAACGATCCATTTATCATTCTGTCCTCAGAATTATGTGGTTATCAGCGGATAAAACTGTGGCACCTAGGGGAGTAGAGTCCAGAAATCTATCTGGGTAAGCGGTTATTACTGAATCAGTCCTCTCCATCTCCTCCACCCACACACACAGGCACACGTGCATAAACTGTAGTATCTGATGAAAATACTTGCTGGAAACACCTATTAAAGTATGCTCTATTGGGGGAAAAGATCAATCCTTCCATCCAATTTAAAAAAAACCAATAAAATTAAAAGCAATTCAACTTAGGTGCCCATATAAAAGGAACATGTACAAACGTTCTGACTTGCATACCTGAGGTATGATTGACATTTTCTTCCTTAAATCATGAAGTCCAATTTCAGTTGTCAAGATCTTATCAATCCAAATTTTACCTTCAGGTTCTGACAATCTAAAAAGGGCTGAGATGAGAGAACTTTTTCCAGCTCCGGTTCTTCCCACAATTCCAACCTATAGAGAGATCCAAGAGGAGGGATTAAAAGTGAACAATATTCAACAAACGTAGGAGAACATTTTTGGCTCTTAAAGTGAATTGTGGACGTTTTATTCAGTGTCTTCTCAAAGTTTCTCAACCGCAGGTCTGTTGAGCTTGGGGCCTGGGTAAGTGCTTATGGTGGAGGCTGTTCCGTGCCCTGTCAGATGATCGCCAATAACCCTGGCCCCAAGCTACCAGAGCTCAGAAGCTGCCCCACACTGTGACAACCCAAACTGTCAGACACTGACAAGTGACCTGGGGAGCAGAACTGCCACCACTCAGACCCACAGATCTACAGAAGAGTTAAAATTAGCCAACGGTCTCCTATCTGGGAAAAGCCAGCAGCCTCCTAAGTGGTTTCAAGAAGACAGCTTTTAAGTGAGCTTTGCTTCCAAGGTCTAAGTAATTTGAGCCTGGAGAATGTCTGGGATAATTTCACAAAGATGTTAACAACTCAAGTGGGAAGTGTTATGTATAAACAAGTACTAATTTTTCCAGAGTCCTTAAGATAAATTATGCATAGTAGCGAAACTAAATCTTGTTATGTTCTTCTGTCTCAAAATACCTTAAAATTTCAAAATACAGGGCTCCCATATCTTAAAAGATAGTAACCAGTAGCCAAACGTGCATAATGAGATGAAAAACAACAACAACAACAACACAAATAACCTTTGCTGTTTATATGGGGCCTTTCATCTGAGCAGTTCAAAAGACATTTTACAAACCAATTAATACTTGCAGTTGCCCTTGGGAAAGACTCAAGTCAAATATCATTCCTCTTATTAAAGACAAAGACAAAGAGAAACGAAGTGCACTGACAATAAGATCAAAGAATCGATGATAGATGATAGTAGGTAAAATGCTGGTCAGGAAAAGGGAGTTGTATGGTAAAAGTTGGCTTCTGAGAAGGATGCGTTTAATCCTGTATTTGGAAAGCTGGCCTTTTACCAAAGAGCTTCTGACCTGAAAATTCCCTGGTTAAAGAGAGCTTATTCAGGAGAGGGCAGCAGCATCCTTATTTAAAAATCTCGAATCAGTGAATGGTGTAAAACATGTCTTCAACCATTTGTCAATGAATTCAATAGAATTTAAAATCTCACTGCTTCACACAGTGAGGAAGTGAACTTTGCTGCTCTCTGCTTATGTGCTGGGAATTTTTAAGTGTTATCTCATTGGAATCCTTTCACATAAAAATCCATAAAATCAACAAGGGCATTTCAAAAATTATCATTATAGAGGTTAAATATAAAAAGTGACTTTACCTAATTTTTAAAAAATCTTTATAGACATAATCCAGCTCACTGGAGTCCTAATTTGCATTTTATATGTGAGTTGCTCTCTGAACATGGGTATGTACGTCCTGGTGCATTTGCACGTGGCTCACGTCTGTGCCATGTTTGTGAGCTCCCGTGCTATCAGCTCCACAGTAAACCGATGTCTGCTCAAACCCACCCGTTTGTAGATCATTAGTAAATGGCCAGATTAGCCCCTTCAAACAGGGGATCCCGAGAGCTGCATCTAACTGTAAGGTACAAGTTCAAGTGAGGACAATTAAAAGGCAACTCAAGGAAAACCTAGGTTTCTCTCTATTATTCAAAGTCATCCAAACTAAAGTCTGATACCCTCAGAAAGGGCTTAGTAGTCTCCCGGACCTTCAGCCCAGGTTTATTAATGGAAATCTTCCTTTGCATAGGCTTCATCTTCCCTTGAAGGTGGTATTCGTTCAAATTCCAATTTTCAACAATACACCAGAAACACTGCGAACTGAAATGTGTCCTCCCCAAATTGGTATGTTTAAGCCCTAATTCCCAGTGGAAAATCATCAGGAGACTGGACCTCTAAGGAAATAAAGCAGATGAAGTCATAGGGTGGGGCTCCTTAATCCTGCAGATCTGGCATCCTCAGAAGCGGAGACACTGGCAGTCTCGCTCACCCTACATGCACGCAAAAGGGCCACACGAGGGTACAGTGTGGACCTGACTACCTGCAAGCCTGCTCGGCAACTGAACAGTGAAAGTCCAGCCTCCAGAACTGCCAGAGAACAAATTTCATTTTTTGGTTTTTTTCAAAACTACAAATCAGAACAAAAACCTATGGTTTGAAAGATTATCACAGGTCACCAGTAGGTTTTACCAGATGCAAGGGGAAGACATCACTAATATCAGTTTGTGTCACCAGAGGAACGCGATGAGATACCATAGTCTTATTTTAACCACTTTGGAATTGCCCCTTATGTTCCCCCTTGTGGGCCAAGCTTGGTCCCTGGAAACTGCATTAGCATGTCAGACATCTGTACTTGGCTCTCTCTCCATCCAACAAATTCAACACTCTCAGTGCCCAACATCTCACTCCCACGGTTGCTGCACCAGACGATCCCCCCTGGGATCTCTGAACTTCTTCCTAATACCTCCTTGCTTCAGGGTCCTCCAACAGCAGCCTGGTGTCCTGCCCTAAGAATCAATGCCCTCATTTTAACTCCAGCAGCCATCACCTGAGTGTAAGGCTTTCAAAAACAAAGCAAAGTCCTCCTAATTATAATCAGTGAAAATCAATTTGAAAAATAAAAAATATTAGCCATAACTCTAGCATTGTGATAGAACTGCTCTTTGTATCTGGATGGACTGTGTGTGTGTGTGTGTGTGTCTGTGTGTCTGTGTGCGTGCGCACATCTGCGTATTCCTAAGGTCACAAACTCACATATTTAAACAAATGAGATTAGTATGAATATGTTGCTATACTCTGTTTTCATGTACTATTTCATAAAAACTTTTTTTTAAGGGCCATATAATATTTCAGTATATGTGATCATTTATTTAACAAGTTCCCTATTGGTGAATGTTCAGACTAATATCTTGCTATTATAAATGACATCATGTTAAATATCCTTGAAGCTAAATCTTTGTAACCTTAATTATTTCCCTAACATCAATTGTCAGACATGGAACGGCCAGGCAACAAATACAAACATTTTCAAAGGCAGCTGATAGGCACTGCCAACTCACCCTTCAGAAATAGGGTTCTCTCCACTGCCCCCTGGCTCCCTGCTCATTTGCCAACCCACGTTTTCACTTTCTCTGAATCAACTTCAGTTTGACTCCCCAAAGTGGAACTGCTTTCCCCACCATGTCTTGCTAGAACAGTACAAGGGCTGCTGGCTTCCTGCCTCCTGTGTCCTCCTGGCTTCTCAGGCTCCACTTGTGAAGCACCACCCTGTACCTGGCACTGCACACTGAAAACCACCGCTACAGAACACTCCCAACCAACCCTGCCATCCTTAGCTATGAGTGCTTCCTTGGGGCCCCCACGCTGGTGTGAGGCCTGAACACGAAAATGTGTCACTCACCTGGTAGGTCACCCCACCGCGTTCTAAAGGTCCCTGAGTCTTCAGCCACAGGGACTCCCGGCCTCGCGCTTACTCTTGCGTCATTCACATGTGTCTCCAAGTTTGTTTCAAACGGTGAATTAAAAAAAAAAAAAAAAATTCTACCTGTCCCCCCATACAGACAACGGATGTCACAGCCCCTTTTCCTAAACATCTGTAACTCTGCGACCTTCTTCAGTCTTACAGAGTAGCCCATCGCTGCCCCTCTCCACCCCCTGCCCCTTTCCTTTTCTCTTCCAGACAGTCTTGCTATGTCCCTAAATTGCCCGGGCTAGGCTCAAACTTGTGATCCTCCTGCCTCAGCCTCCCAGAATGCTGGGACTGTAAGTGTGCACCACCGTGCCCAGCTACTACTTAGTTTCTTCTGCTGGACTGCATGTGCTATGGGAAGGATCCAGGTGGATTCACCTTTCTACATTTGTATTAGCTGTGGTGTATTGTGAAAAATAGGAATTCTAGAGGGAGCTGAAAGTTTAACTCAAGCTTGAGAAATTTTAGCAACACACTGTTCAGGCATATAATAAAGTGGAAGGAGAAGACAGATATGGCAGATGACTCCTGTTACCATACAAGCAGGGAAGCAAGTGGTTGGTGCCTCATTTCATGGGGCAGACGACAAGCTATGCCTTGAAAGTGGTTAAGCTCATCTTACACCCCAGGAGAATGATGCAACCTTTAATCAGGGTGTCAGGCTCTGTAGCACCAGGTGTGAGGTCCGATTACTTCCATTTTGCTAGAGAGAAAACAGGCTTAGTAAGATTAATGAACCTCTATGAAATAATCTGAGGCTAGAACTCAGGTTGGCTGGCATCTTGACCACTGTACTGAGGGCCTCCCTATCAGTCTGACGGCCCCGCCCGATTCCCCAGGAGGGAGAGAACAGGGAGGGATATGGCCTCCATGCAGATGTTTCCGGGCTGACAGAGCACACTGTGCAAGCAGGTGGGTGTGATATTAGGGGTGAAACAAGAATGTGCAAAGCTGTGGTCATCCTCAGGAGAGACTGGTGCCCACAGTGGAGGCTGGGGAGAAATGTGCAGTGGGGCACCATGGCTCGCCTGGGAAGAGAGAGACCCAATCCCCAGTTTGGGGTGGTGACGCTACTTTTTATGCCCTCCGCGGGTGAAAAGAACTCAAGATCTAGTAGCACTTGCGCAGCGTACTATGAGATACAGATCCAGGACAGCCACATGGAGACAGCTGGATCAGAGGTGCAATGTTCTGCAGAATTCAGACTCGACTGGAAAGACGCACATACATGCATACACTTGGGATGATGCAGAATTAAACTGCAACATAAACTCAGGACTTGAAGAGTATAAAAGCACAAAACAAAACAAAACTGTATGGTGATGAGTGGTCGAGGACTTTCTAGAGTATCACTTCAGCCTTGAGAGATACTGGGGTAACCCAGGAGCTCAATATCAAGGTATGGAAGGCAGTTTCCTGGAAATCATGGGTTACTGGTCAGGAAAAATGGCTGGTGGGCAAGAGGACTTCACTGGGAGTCTTACGCAAATGTGCTTCTGATGGGAAGGGGGCCTTCTGAGAGTCTGCATTTCTAAGAAATTTCCAACAGTGGTAGATGCTGCTGGAGCAGCCAGGAATGGCAAGCAGGAAGAGGGATGGAGATCCGAAGGCATGAGAGGAGAGCTCTCTAAGAAAACATTATGTAAAAAAGGAGAAAATATAGGGAACTAATATTTTTGCACATTACAGCAAGGTCTAGTACGCATCTGTAAAACTGTATTATCAAAGTAATAGCTCTGAGCAAGGAAAAACAATAACAATCGAAAATCAATGTACCTCTAGAGCTGGAAAACGCTTTCCAATGGCCCAGTACTTCCTCAAATGATCACACCAACCACAAAATCATCTAAACGCAAAAACGCAGCCACGGTTTACAATCTTACCTGGAAGCCTAGGGTGGGATTTACCTCATGTTTGTTCTTTATGTTTACTTGCTGTTTCTTCCCTACATTAGCAACCTGCTTAGTACCGATTACACTTTTCCTATTTACTGTAACTTCCGGGAATCTCAGCAGAGGAAACCATTGGAAAAAAAAATAAATAAAGCTCCGTTTCTGCTGCACTGGCACTGTCCACGTCCTCTGCCCATCAAGTCCGACACCAAAGGGGCAGCTGTAAATGGGAGCTGGGCACAGGTGTGGGGGCGAGGACACCTCCAGGTCCCAGCAGAGGGGAATCATCCCACCAGGACACACCCTGGACACAATCCCTAAATATTAGGGGGTGAATCCAAAGTCAAGTTATTGTAGACATTACACTGCAGTCTTCAAATCTGATTTACCTTCCAACATTTCAGCATCTCAAGTAATCCTGTGATTTTGGGATTTTAGGAATCTTTTTTTTAAAAAAACAGACAAAATCTGGGGATACACGGATTTCTAACCTGTACAGAGTTTCTTGGCTAATCGCTATTTTGTAGCTTCAGGGATACTTGAGGGATATCTGAGGCGTGCAGGAATGAACAGATCACACTGGCAGCGACTGACCCGGGACACTGCCCGCAGGTAAGCAACGAATCCCCGCACAACTGGAGAGACTGGCGCTCATCACAGCTGCAGCAACGTTTTGCCCACAGTCGTCCTCACCACCTTCACACCTACCAGGAAGCTGGGGACGTAATGAGAAGCAGGCTTTTGCCACACTGTTTACTGAAGCTGTTCTCTGTGTGCCCCTTGGGAAGCAACTGGTATACTCATTCTTTCAAGACACAAGGGTGTCACTCAGGAAATCACAGCTGGACTTCGTCACTGAATGGGTCTGAGGAGGAAAGAGTTTAACGAGCAGCCCCTCAAGTACCGAGCACTGCAGAAGTGGGAGATGTAGCTCCATAGCAGAGCCCTTGGCAGGTGCCCTGAGGTGTATGCCCAGTGATGACAGGAGGCGGGTGGGGAGAGAAAGGAGGAGGAGGAGGAAAAAGAAAAGAAAAATTACCCCACATTGTCATCCAGGGAACAGGCCATTGTGCGTTTTTCACAGTGTCTCCCTACTTGTTATGACGCTCATGGTAGGCTTTGTCAGCCCCCGCCATGTGCCCTGTAAAAATTCCACTTACTGGGGAAGAGTATGGATAGAAAATGTTCCCTAACCTTCAGGAGCCTCAAGGTACTACAAGATACAAATCCAGAACACAAATCATGCTCTGATATTCTCTTTTGTAATTGCGATTTTTTTTTTTTTTTAATTTTTGATATAGACTCATGTAGTTCAGGCTGGTCCTCAAGGTAATTCCCCTGCCTCAGCCTCCCGAGTGCTGTGTTTATGGGCATGCATGCACCACCACACCTCAAAAAAGTTTAAAAATTATGGTAAAGAGGTCTGGGGATTTAGCTTAGTGGTTCCAGCACCTGCCTCGCAAGCGCAAGGACCCGAGCTCAATCCCCAGTACCAAAAAAAAAAAAAAAAAAAAAA